AGTAGACAATCATCGTTTAGACCATTCTTAAAAGACACAACCACCACCTCTTGGTTGCACCCTGGTATTCGGTTGAATACCTCATAATACCTCTTGGCATAAGCCCTGAGGCTTTCATCCTCGCCAATTCTTAAAGCCATCAGGGAGTCCACCCTCAACGGCTGTAGTTTGTTTGTCATAAACCTGGCAACGAACATCTCGGCCAGGCCTTCCCAGTTTTTCACAGTTCCTTTCGGCAACTTGTGATACCAGTTTGATGCGATTTTCCCAAAGGATGAGGGGAACACTTTGCAGAGCAACGGCTCGTTTTGTGTGTATAGTGCCATTGAGTTCAGGTATAAGCCAACGTGAAAGTTAGGGTCAAACTTACCGTGGTATATCTGGAATCTCGGCATGTGGAACCTCTTCGGGGCCTCAAATTTGTCCAATTCTACCGAGAACGGCGTTCTTGGCTTGGCCGAAGAGATTACCTCGACATCTTGTCGCTTCCTCTGGAGGTAATCTCTCAGATCCTCTTTGGTTTGTCCAGGAGCTTGGCTATCAACGGATTTTAGCCTCTTTGGTGCGCTACTCCCGGTGTCGTTATGAGTCCTCTTGGACCTCCCTCCATTAGTCGTGTCGAAACAAAGCTCCTTTCCTTGAGCATGCTGATGTTCTTTGGCATAGGCTTCATTGGTACGATGTGTTTTCCGAGACTCTTCCTTCATCGACTCTCCTCGCCCGACCTCTTGTGAAGGTCGGTGAGAATGTTCCTTAGTCCTGTCGTGCCGAGGGACTGCAGGAACTATTTTCTGCCCCCCTTTCTGGGCATCTTTGTTGGCCACTGGAATCGGTGTATCATGTAACGGAAACAATGGCTACATGACGTTGTTCTGCATCATGAAATTGACGACCGATTGCAGGTCTGCCAATTTGTTCACCATTCCCTTCATCTCGTCATCCCTCTGCAGGCATCCATCTTTCCATACTTGGAGGTCGTCCTCGTTATAATACCTGCCTCGGTCTGCCTTCTTTGGTACGTCTCCCTCCTGGCCGATGTCTTTCTCTCAGAGATTCTGATCTCGAGTTTCTTCATTGCAATTATCCTCCTCTACATTAGGATCAAAGTGTTTACTACTTCTGGTAGGAATGTCGTCTCCAATCTTCTCTTTCTATCCGTCGTTGGCCATCTATTCTCCTTTCTTTCCCACAGACGGCGCCAAATTGTGGGTGCTGATTTCTAACCACACTGCCAAACAGGTACTCAATTGGAGAACATCGACAGAATAGATTGCGCCCGAACGACCTGTCACAGAAAGATGAGACTCCGGCGGTGGTTCGTCCACCCGGGGGCACTCTGACGATCAAGTCAGTACTCAATTATCTCTCAAAGATAGCAAATAGTGCTTATACTCACTAGTCAGAATACAAAAAGCGTATCTTAGACCCATGAGGGTTCCTTACTTTTATAGTCAGCACTAACCTAATCATTGCAGAAGCCTAGCTTCCCTTGGACTCTGGCCCAATACTTATCCTGGACTCTCCCATAGATAAAGATAAACTCCCTAAGGCCCCGTTTGTTTTCAGAGGTAGAATGGAGGGGATTCATAGTAAGGGGATTAATAGTGAGGGGATTAAGTAAAATTGTGTTTGTTTTGATGATAATTGTTAGTGTAGGAATTGTTAAATTATTTTTATATAAAATAATAAAACAAATAAAAAAATATAAAAAATTAAACATTAATATTTATAAAAAAATTCCCAATATATAAAAAATAAAAAAATAAAAAAATTTCTAATCTCCTCACTATTTTTCTAATACCATCTCCCCAACCTCCGTCTCAATCCCCTCCCCAACCTTCATCTATATCACCTCTACCATCCTAATCCCCTCCCCAACTCTACAAACAAACACAACACTAAATAACACCTCCACCATCCTAATCCCCTTCCATCTACATAACCCAAAACAAACGGGCCCTAAGAACTTTATCCTTCTCCAGGCTGATGTCCTTCCCCTCCCCCATTCTAGGACTCTTATAGCTTATCCGTTTATCCCAGATTCCAGTATCTGTGCAGATAGCCTCAACCTAGCCGAGATCATCTCGGTGTCATGAGCAGGACACGTGGCACCTCAGTTGGCATTTCGATACCACCTTAGCCACGTGTGTTATTCAAGAAAACATGTCCCCACAAGTATTATATGATAATGTTACATAATACTCTAAATAGTATTTTGATACTACTGAATAATTACCGTGACATTATACATTAAAACTTAACCCTTTTGTTGATGAAGTTGGATCCTTCATTCAAATCAATCTGTCTCCCCTGTTTCAATGCATCTTTATATTACATGATATGTATCTCTCTGTTCTAATTGTGTGATGGAGAAAGCACTTAAAAAAAAGAAAAAGAAAAAAGTAAGAGAAATTATTAGTGACACATGGTGTTACGTTACAGTGAAAACAATTAAATACAATTATAATATTACATTATTAGTGACACCTGATATAATCATTTAATAATAAATTACTATATAGACATAGGAAAATGCCTAAGGCCTCGAATTTGCCTCGAATCTTAATTTTTTTCTTTTCTTTTCTTTTAAGACAGTGTTAGTTTGAATTTTTTTTTTTCCTCTCTTTTCTTTTCTTTTCTTTTCTTTTCTTTTTGCAAGGGTAGTTTATGTATAAGGGATATGTTAAAAAATTGGACATTCTACAAGTAAATTGAGTTAGACTGATTGAATGATAAAATTGATTGATTAATTTTTTTAATTTTATTTTATTTTATTTGTTGGGTTTTTTTTTTTAAAGGTAGTTATGTGTAGAGGTGTGCTAAAAAACTAGGCATCCCGCACCAACTCATCGTACAAAATTATATGGAATTAATAAATTTTAACCACTAGTCTAACTGAACAATCAATTAAGTTGGACTGGTTGAGTGATAAAATTGACTGATCAATTTGTTAATGTCATATAATTTTATACGATGAGTTGGTACGAAATGTCTAATTTTTTTGGTACATCCCTACACATAACCATCCTAAAAAAAATAAAATAAAACAAAAAAACTAACACACACAGCCAAAAAAAAAAAAAAAACACATTCGAGGCCTCTAGCACTACCGATAGATATAAAGAATTGAGGTCACTGCTGTGCCTTTGGTTACTGTTGTGTCTCATTTTGTGGTGCATTATGGATTTATTTTTATAATCTGACTCGTTGATGTTGTAAGGTTTGTTGAGTACTCCATACTTACCAAAAATCATATTAATCGGATACCAATAACTATATGATTGATAACCAAAAAAATAAACAATAAGTTTTTCTTTTGAAAAATAGTATAAAAATATGCAATTCAATCATATAGTTATTAATATCCGATTAATATGATTTTTGGTAAGTTTGAAGTACTCAACAAATCCTACAAAATGAACTGTTCAGATCATAAAAATAAATCTATAATACATTTCAAAATGCCTTTAACACAACAATGACCCAAGTCCTAGGTATAATAACCTTCACTTTAAATATAGTGATTGCAAAACTATCTTGGAACGCCTAGTTATATCCGAATAATGAGGAGTTTACTATCTCATGTATAGTTTTATTATTGATTAATGATACTACGTATCCGTTAAAATGTGATATAACTGTTTTATTAAATCTTTACTCAAACGATAATACTATTATACATCACACTCATTAAAAAACCACAATAAAGTCTAAAAGAAATTTATTATTTACACATCTATGAGCATTCACATCAGTCTCAATAAATGTAGATTTTTGTTAAGGCTTGGTTTAGGAAGTGAGTTGATTTTTTGATTTTTTTGACTATTTTAGCCTAAGGTTAAAAAACTTGGTTTGAGAAGGACTTTTGATTTTTTTATTTTTTTTGTGAGAGAAAAAATGTAATGATTATGGGTTAGATGTGATGTTTTGTCTTATTGGGGGCTAAAAAGCCTATTTTGTTTTTTGTGGCTATTTTAGCCCCAAACCCACTTCCTAAACAATGCCTGAATATAATTAATAAATCATAAAATTCTTGTTTCATCAGTCTCAACAAATTATTTCTAAACTAGCTCTTGGTTAACTTTGCTATAATATATCACTACATGTAACGATACACTGTTCACAGCTTATATAATATTTTATTATTTATTCTTAAGAGTGACTGGACGTCCTGTTGGTCATCTAGCAACACAATTTGTTTTTTTTTTTTTTAGGAATATGAAACTACATAGATTTTTTATTTTATTTTTTTGTATGTGAAACTGCATATATATAACAATACAAAATTAACTTCTCATATATTATTTGGCTGCTTTTTAACAATACAAAATGAATATTATATAAAATTTAACTTTAAAATATAGAATCTAATGTAGTGTATATATATAAAAAATGCTAGCTAAAATAAAAAAGTAATTTTTTAATTATAATTTGACTCAAAATTTGTTAAGACTCGTATGGATGCTCTAGAAATGGATGCACCACTTTCTAAATTTTACTTGTGCGATTTGAAATAAAAGTTATGACCAAGTGAATTTATGTTGCAAAATTTAAAGTAAAATCTACAAATTATTATGATTGTGTCATGACAGGTGTGATTAAAAGTTACAATCTATTTATGATAAGAAATATTACGAACTACTTTGATAAAAAAAATATTATGTTATATTATGATGTGAATTACTAAATTTTTTTTTGTGATACAGTTTTTAAAGACTTTTACCATAGCAGGTCCCTAACGTCTAACATGGGTGCAGTGCAGCCCATCACCAGGTGGTCCCCTCACCTCAACCTCTTAATTTGTTTGAATCTATCTACGTATATAATATCATTTACACTCATAATTTATTTATTTTTATAAATATCCTAAGGAAGATAATTACTGTATAGGCCAGAAGCTGACACAAAATGCCATTTTAGTCTGACTGTTAAATCTCCTCCCTTCCTTCCTTATCACACACCAACCTCTTCTCTCTCTCTCTCTCTCTCTAGTGGATGAGTGCTTCAATTCAAATTCTCTATTGGTGAAGGTCTTTTCATATCTTTGTTAGGTTTTGAGTGCTCTGTTCTCACATATTCAATGCAGCATAAAAGACCCTTCTCTATCAAATCTTCATTCTTTGGAGTTCTCTAAATCTTTTGCTCTCATATTGGTAATTCCTCTCAAGCTCCACAAGTAGAGCCCTGTTTTAATGGGCATGTTTGGTATCATTTTCGTTTTACATTCTTTAGAATAAAAAGTTCGTGTGAAACTAGTTCACCAATAAAGTTTTCTGTGTTATCTGAAGCAAGAAAACATAAAAACAAAAAGATACCAAATGAGCACAATGATTTTTTTTGCATAATCTTTGACCTTTCTTTGATTGATTTAATGAGGTTCATGCCAATGTTTAAGGCCTGTAATTTACTTATTATGAACCAAATTGCTACGTTTTTATTTTTCCTTTTTCTATTTGTTTTTTCACAATTGGTAGGAGGAAAAGTTGTATCGCATATCGATAAAACTTGAACTCAGACATAAGACTTATGATTAAAACATTATTTTTCATTATATATTAACGATATGAAGTTGGGATTATTATAATTTTGAAATAATGAATACAATTTGTATGACAATTTCTTGAATTAGGAACACTTTAAGCGATTGAAGTTTTAGCTTAGTCAAGCGATTGAAGTTTTAGCTTAGTCAATCGATTTTTGAGCTGAAAATGCCACTCAAGAATGGTCGTGGGAAGACAAAAGGGGATAAGAAGAAGAAAGAAGAGAAGGGTATTGATTTGTTTTTCGAAAACAAATTTATTTTTTATTTTTTATTTTTTATGTTGTGAATGTTCAATACCTTGTTTTTGTGCAAGGTATTATTTAATTTCTATGCTTCATGAATTTGCAGTTCTTCCAGTTGTAATAGACATAACTGTAAAGCTTCCGGACGAGACTCATGTTATTTTAAAGGTTTGGTACTTCTGAATTTATAGCTTTTCTACTAAGTTATGCAACAATTCATTGATATTTAATGTTATTGTGTTCACATTCACTCCCTTTTTTTCCTAACTTTATTTTCTTTGTTTATATTAGCTTCTAGCACAGAGAGCATGAATATTATTTATTCTTTCTATTTTACATATCAGTCTTGTCATCGTCTTGTGTGTTGGAGGAAATAACGAAGCTGGAGAAGAATCTTATTAGTTTGATGTCACAATTAACAAAAAAAAAATTGTCAAAGACAAATTCAATTTTACAACAAAACTTCTAAAATGTGGTCGTGTGTTTCGCTTTTGTTAACAAGTTAGGTGCTTGAAATTATTTTTAGAGTTAATTGGGTTCGTATACACGTGTAATTGTGTGGTTACTAATAGTTGCGTAATCAAAACGCAATTTTTTGAATTTCATATTATTGACAAATGATACTGTCCTATATTTAGAATTAAGATATTTTTAAATTGATAATTATTAATATAAATATAGTTTATCTGCAGCACTCAAACGTTCAATTGTTAAAAAAGTACAATCCAAGTATTGGAGAGAAGCCGGCACCTACTAATATTATTTTTAAAAAATTCTTTTATTTTCTCAATATATGAAAATAACATTATTAACTTATTTGTAAATATGGAAATGTGGAATTTATTATTTTTGCCAATAGTTGTTGTCACTTATCAAGGACGGAATTGCAATATTGGGCAGGGAATATCAACGGACAGGATTACAGATGTTCGTCGCCTATTATCTGTGAGCACAATTACTTGCTGTATCACCAAATTTTCATTAACCCATGAGGTATGGTAATTTTAGTAATAATATCAAACTATGATGACTTTTCAGCAATTTTGAAAAATATATAAAATTCCAAATTTACCCTTCTTGTTATCCATTTTACCAAACAGGTACGAGGGCCGCGGTTAAAGGACTCGGTCGACGTTGCCGCACTCAAGCCATGCGTCCTCACTCTAGTAGAAGGTAATACGACCTCGTTTTGACAATACGACACCGTATCCTTCTCTTTCTCTTGTCTTAAATTTGAAAAGTCATTTTTACCGTCGATTTTTTCGATTATTCTCCGAGCAGAGGACTACGATGAAGAGAGCGCAACGGCGCACGTTAGAAGGGTGCTGGACATTGTGGCCTGCACGAGCAGCTTCGGTCCGTCGGCGATCAAGGACTCCGGCAAGAATGCGCGCGGTGCGCAGGATAACAAGGCGGTCAAGAAGTCCGGCAAATCTCAGTCGCCATCACCGCCGCAATCGCCGAAAGATGCGGCGGTGGAAGGAGAAGGAGAGGGAGAGTTGAGCAATTCATGCCCTAAGTTCGGTAGCTTCTACGAGTTCTTCTCTCTCTCTCATCTCACACCCCCTCTGCAATGTAATTTCTCTCTCTCTCTCTCTCTCTCTCTCTCTCTCTCTCTCTCTCTCTCTCTCTCTATGTTATTGCTAAATTAAATTATAATTGTTATGGATTTTATATTAATGCAAAACATTGGTGTGTAGTGGTGTTATATAAGTGAATGTAGTGTTAGGCTATCTCCAGGCTTACTCAAATTTAAGTTTGAGTACAAGTTTTATTTGATATGAACTATTTCAAATGAACAAACTCAGATTTAAGTATAAATTTGAGTAAAAGATTCAATTATGACAAAGTGACCAATTTGAGAGTCACAAAATAGTTTTAAAAATTTTGCCTAAACATTTGAGTTTCCCTTGATTTAGGTAAAATGTTGAGTCAGTGATTAGAGATTCCCTTACACAAAATATATGTGTGTGTTCGTAGTGTGATGTGAACATGGATTTTTAGAAATCAAATTTCTGGAAAAGAACATTCGGATTATAAAATAAAAAAATTTATAGTTTCATTTTCCTTTTGAACTTTGAGGAAATTTATGCTACAAATAAAGGTTTGTGTGCTTATTCCCCATTTGGATATTGTAGTTATAAGGAGATCAACTAGGCAACACGCCGATGGGAGTTTAGTGGATGATCATCTTTTTTCCTTTGAAGTAAGACCTTCCCGAACCAATTTATTTTCTGTGTACTATTATGATATTTCAGTTTGCATGAAAACTGAAAATAGTACTATTATGCATGACAATCATGGTGATTTGCTCTGTTGATGGGCAGGTGAAGCTCTGCAATGGAAAACTAGTACTTATTGAAGCTTGCAGAAAAGGATTCTACTGTGTTGGGAAACAGCGGATTCTTTGTCACAACCTCGTTGATTTGTTAAAGCAACTTAGTAGAGCTTTTGATAATGTTAGTATTGCAAAATCTCTCATTTTGGGTTGCTCATTTGTTCCATTTCTTCTTTTGTTTGCTTACTTTTTTTCACATGTGTCACGATTTGATTTATGCTTTTTCAAAAGCATGGATAAACATGTTTATTGTCTTATTGGTTTCTAGAATCAGTATTCTTGAACTTTGAGTTTGCTGATGCATGTTTGATATGCAACTAAGCATTGGTATGGGAAATTCTACTCTTACAAAGTTATTTGTTTTACATAATTCTACAAGAGAATAATGTGGTGGTGGAATTTTTGAAATTGTAAGCCACCTTACTAGGTCTTTTGTTTTAAAATGATAAAGACCCTCATATGCCACATCATTTTTATAAGATCTCTATATTATTTTTTTGTTTGTTTGTATAGGATTACTCTATTGGTATTGTGTTTCACTCCTCTTTAATTTGTGTGCTCTTTGTGATGTTAATTATTTATGCAAGTGAAGAAATTCAGTTTGGGTTTATTTGCATGGTTTTATCATTCAAAATCTAAGATGCACTTTCAGATATTTATTTCTTTTTGTCTCATGCTTCCTCCTTTAATTCGTCTAAAATATTGTTGAAGTTTTAACACATCTTTATTCCTTGTTCTCAGGCCTATAATGATCTCATGAAAGCATTTTCAGAACGAAACAAGGTACACAACCATTGCCGAGAGTGTATTTTCTGACCCTAACTTAATTAAGAGTCTGTTTGGTGCAACTTATGGAGCTGCTTGTACCTTTTTTATTTTGGAAATCTATGTCAAAGTGTTTGGTGCAACTTCTTCTTATAACTTATGAGACAGAAATAGTTTAAATAAGTTGATTATTGAGAAACAGGGGGAGAGGTGCTTTTAACTTTTGCTTTCTCATTATCAACTTTCAGCTTGCTAGAAATTGCACCAAACAGGCCCTAAAACCTAACCTTCCATGAGATTTTAGTGCATATTTATTTTGGCTGAGGATTTTCAATTCCTATATCCTATCACATTTTTAACCAATTTCTATGTATCTTGAAGCAGTTTGGGAATCTTCCTTATGGTTACAGAGCCAACACATGGCTCATCCCTCCCATTGCAGCACAGTCACTGCCGATATTCCATCCTCTCCCTGTGGAGGATGAAACATGGGGAGGAAATGGAGGTGGCCTAGGAAGAGATGGCAAAAGCAATTTATTACCTTGGACTAATGAGTTTTTATCTCTTTCGGCCATGCCTTGTAAGACAGCTGAGGAAAGGCAGATTAGAGATAGAAAAACTTTCCTTCTTCACAGCCTATTTGTAGATGTCGCCATTTTCAGAGCAATTTCAGCCGTGTGGCATGTAATGGGAAATTCAGAATCAACCCATTCAGCTGTCAGCAGTGAGATTATCTATGCTGAGAAAGTAGGGGACTTGAGTATAACTGTCATGAAAGATTCTTCAAATGCGAGTTGTAAAGTAGATACTAAGATTGATGGAGTTCAAGTGATCGAGTCAGACCCAAAGAAGTTACTAGAAAGGAACCTACTGAAAGGAGTCACTGCAGATGAAAATACTGCTGCCCAGGTAAGATAGCATAGAAAAAATGACATTTTTTTCCCCGTAAATTGAGATTGTCTTCTTTTGATATTGGTTTCTGCTAATTTCGCTGAAGAAAGTTGAACATTTTGAGTGCAGGACATTGCCACTCTGGGTGTTGTAAATGTGAGATACTGTGGTTACATTGCGGTGGTTAAAGTTGAGGGGAGAGAGAATGTCAAAACAGGTCCTCCATTGCAAATCCCTGAACTTATCGATCAGCCAGAAGGCGGTGCTAACGCCCTCAATATTAACAGGTTTTCACTGATCACTACCATGTGGATATTTCACATTACATTGTGAGAGCACACATGGGTAGTTTCTATGAGAGCATATAAAGCATAACCCATTAACCTTTGCATGTTCCTGTAGTTTTTCATGTAACTAAAGTGAGTATTTTGATGCACTTGTTATATTGAGGAATTCTTAGTTTTCTTTTAGACAATTGTCTGAATTTGGCTTAGAATATTTCACATAGAGATTTGTAATGTTTCAAGCTTCAAATAGAACATATTTTCCTTTTGCTTTAAATGTAAGTTGTTTTGATTGTTTTTTGGACAAATTACATTGGTAGTCCTTGCATTTTGCTCATTGTGTCATTTTGGTCCTTGTCATTTCAATTGGCTCGATTTTGATCCTTACCTTTTGATTTTGTGTCAGTTCGGTCCAATTGATACCGCTGATTAGGGTTTTTGAAGGAAAATGATCACTGAATTTGTTGAGATTAATTCACTAAGTTGAACAAATTTGCAATTTTACCTTAAAAAACATGACATGCACAATTTATGTCCGCATTTTCTAACAAAAAACACTAAAAATTGTAATCAATTGGACCAAAATTGAGACAAACTTATAAATTAGGATCAAAATTGAGCCAATTGAAATTATAAGGATCAAAATGACACAATGACCAAAGTATAAGGGTTACCGGTGTTATTTGCCCCCTTTTTTTCTTTTTTCTTTTTTCATTTTGCAAATGTTAACACTTTAACTGAAGGTATTTCAGTGGTTGAATTTTTACATTCTTTTTTAACTTCTTCAACTAGGATTTGCATTGGATCTGGAATTAAAATCCTTGATCTCTCTTCGGGAAAATATCGAGGCCAGTTTAACTTTGTGAACAATCATTTTCATCTACTCTATTTATAATCTTGGATAAATACTGATACTGAGGCAAACATTCAGAGGATAAGTTATTGTGCTATTTGCCAGCCTTTAAAATCTTGGAGACAGGAGTGGCTGCTTGTTTTTCATTTATGTCGGTACTAAAATTTGCTCCTCATTTATGGTTTGATATATCCTTGTATTATGCGTCTCCCTTACCTTCCTGTCCCCAAAATTGCTCCATTAGTTTTGTTGGGCATTGTAACCTTGTGTCTTTGCAGTTTAAGGTTGCTTCTTCCCAAAAGAGAAGCTTCAGAACTCGTTAACGCATTACCACATTCAAGAACTTTGGAATCTGAAGAGCGCCATTCTTCCCAAGCATTTGTGGAGAGGTTGTTGGAAAAGAGTCTTGCTAAGGTTCAGGAAGAGGAAATTGAAGGGGACATTTTTGTGAGGTGGGAACTCGGAGCCTGCTGGATACAACATTTGCTTGATCAGAAAAATACAGAAAAAGACAAAAAACAGTCTACTGAGAAGCCTAAAAAAGAGACGAAGGTTGAGGGACTTCGGACACCTCTTAGATCCCTTAACAACAAGAAGAATTCTGAGAACTTGAAGTCCACTTTAGGAGTTGTCAACGGGGAAGCGGAAAATGCCATGTCACCTTCTCTACAAGCTCAGCTTGAGACAAATGCCAATGACAATGAGCTTGCGCTAAGGAAATTGTTGTCTGATGCTGCTTTTTCTCGTTTAAAGGAGTCGGAAACTGGTCTCCATTGCAAGGTAGTATGTTATAAATATCATTGAGGTTCATGATTTTTTTTCTTTTTGGCCCGGCAGTGTAGCACATACTAACCTACTGCTTTTTTATTTTATTTTAGTCTATGCAAGAGCTAATTGACTTGTCTCAGAAATATTACAATGAAGTTGCTCTTCCAAAACTGGTAACAAATGAACATATATTTCTTTTTTTATCTGATTCATGTGATAAATCACAATCATTTTTATGATGCATTTTCTAGCATTGGATTGCATGACACAGGTAGCAGATTTTGGTTCCTTGGAGCTTTCACCAGTTGATGGTCGGACTCTGACTGATTTCATGCATACCAGAGGACTTCGGATGTGTTCCCTGGGACAAGTGGTAAGTGCGTTGTGGTTACACAGGATTTTAATTTCTTAATACCATTTAATTGCTCAATCATTTTAATTGATTGTTGCTATTTCCTTTTTCTTGACTAGGTTAAGCTTTCAGAAAAGTTATCACACGTGCAGTCTCTCTGTATTCATGAAATGATAGTTCGAGCTTTTAAGCACGTTCTGCGGGCAGTGATTGCTGCGGTTGTTAATACTGAGGAAATGGCTGGGGCGATTGCTGCTGCATTGAATCTGATGCTTGGAGTCCCCGAAAATGGGCAATTAAATCAATCCTTCAGTGTCCATTTTCTTGTGTGGAGATGGCTGAAAGTATTTTTAAAGAAAAGATATGAATGGGATCTCATCAACTTAAACTACAAAGATGTGAGGAAAACTGCAATTCTACGTGGGTTATGCCATAAGGTACTTGGCACTGACAAAGTTCCAAAAATTTGGCAATGGCCTCTGTTTTTAATGTCTGGATCTATATATTCATTCTTTTTCTTTTTCTTTTTTTCAAATTTTTTTTTTTGTCCACAAGGTATAATAATTAAAAGGAAGTTACACTTACCCATTTTTTGGAATACTTTTAGTCAACTTATGGGACACATAAAAAGCTCTTTAAAGAGTACTTACTGCTATGGAAAGATGCAAACAGTTAAAAAACACATTGAGGATGGTTTGAAGTTAGAGACTATCACTAAACAGGTTACGCTGGGATTTGCCTTATTTTCAAGTGGCTTTTGTATTATCAATTATGTGTTGAAATCTTCACTTGACACTGAATACATATGTACAAATATATTCAATTATGTCCATCCAATCAAATTAGTTTTGGACAGTATGATCTATTTGTTAACAGCGAGCAACAGACGTATATATGTGTTGATATCATGGAGCACCCATTGTTGTCCATGACTCTACAGTGCATTCATATAAAGACACTAATTTCCAAGAACAATTTTCCATTGGGAAAAAAATGTAAATATATGCAAAGAAAGTGGTGTCTTTCATGATTCCATTTCTTTAATATTAGTGGAGTTTTATATGATAGTTTAGGTCTTGTAGTTGTTAATGAAACATAATCAATGTCAAATTGTTTTGTTTGTGATTCAGGTGGGGATTGAGCTGGTTCCAAGAGACTATGATATGAATTCTCCAGAGCCTTTCCAGAAAGTAGACATTGTCAGCCTAGTACCAGTACATAAGGTGATACAGTAAACCATGTTCATAGTAGAATGACACATTCTATTATAATTTTTTCATGTATGAATTGGTCAATGACTGTAAATTTCGTGGATTCTTCATTTCTTTCAGCAAGCAGCATGCTCATCTGCAGATGGACGACAACTTTTGGAATCATCAAAAACAGCTCTAGATAAGGGAAAACTTGAAGATGCAGTCAGCTATGGGACAAAGGTATTTGATTTCCAAATACCTTATTATTTCTTATAAGTCATGTGACTTATTATCTGTTTGGTATTTCCTAGATAAACAGTTTTTTTGGCTAAAAAAGTCAAAAGCCAAAACTTTGTTTCAGGAAGGCTAAACCATAAAAAGCAATTTTTTTAGCAAATCTGTGAAAAGATTATTTTACCCACAATACTTTCAGAAATTCCACCGTGTCCCTACAAGGGCTTCACAATACTATAGGGTAATATCGTAATTTCTCATCAAAAAGCAAGTTTGAAAAGACCCAAAAAGCAACTTTTTTAGCAATTATGAAAGCTAGTAAAAAAGAAATTGCCAAACCGCAACTGTGTGTAAGAAAAAGTAGTAGTTAGTTGCTTCCACAAATCTGTTCCTCCGTTCTGTTTTTTGGTTAAATTAGTATGTTACGTGGCTATACTTCTCTGATGTTTCCAGGCCCTTGCAAAGCTGGTAGCAGTTTGTGGTCCTTACCATCGAATGACTGCAGGAGCTTATAGCCTTCTTGCTGTAGTTTTGTATCACACCGGAGACTTCAATCAGGTTTTCCATCCATTTTTAGTGTTGCTTGGACCTCTTGTAGAAGGAATGACTCGTGTTATAGAATGTTCTAGAAAATTTGCATGCTAGATTAGGCATCCAAACTTCAAATACTTGTAGATCTATTGTTTGAACCTTTTTTTCCACCTTATAGTATATATATCGTGGTATAGTTGATTCATTTAACCCCAATTACAGGCCACAATTTATCAGCAAAAAGCCTTGGATATCAATGAGAGAGAATTAGGCTTTGATCATCCAGATACCATGAAGAGCTATGGGGATCTTGCCGTGTTCTATTACAGACTTCAGCATACAGAGCTGGCTCTCAAGTATGTTTTTGTTTCTTTTGGTGTTGCATCCCAGATTTGAAGTTCATTAATATTAGCATTGCATAATATTGTTTGTCATCAATATTATGTGTTTCATGCTTCTACTAAGTGAAAAGTTTTGTTGTCAATGTTCAGATACGTAAAGCGTGCACTCTATCTTTTACATCTTACGTGTGGCCCATCACATCCAAATACTGCTGCAACATACATCAATGTGGCTATGATGGAAGAAGGCCTGGGAAATGTCCATATTGCCCTCAGATATCTCCATAAAGCTCTGAAGTGTAACAAAAAATTACTTGGCCCAGACCATATTCAGGTTTCTTTTATATAGCAGAACTCCCTTTATTAATTTTATGCTGGTATTTGATATGCTCTTTTAGCTATGAGTTTATGGTGGGATGAGATATTAAAGTTGGACTGACATAGACCATTGATTGCCTTGGTCTAATCTGTAAAATGGGATATGCTGCAAATGCACATACTCCAGAATGTGGTATAGTTAGGTTGGCATTATTCGCTTTGTTGAAGTGACATATTAATTTCTGATGCAAGAAATGTTCTCTCTTGAACACAGTGAGCATAAAACTATGATTTCATCTTGGAATGCGTGTGTTGTGGACACATGCTTGTCCATTGATCAAACCAAAAATGCATATAAGACTATAAGGCATGGTTTTACTTCAATATTTTATTTTTAGGTCTACAAGTGAACCGAGCTGTTCACAACGATCTTGATCTCAGATCATTCAAACTCATGTAGTTATGTTTTGAATGAGGTCGAAAGTACTAAACTAGCTGAGCTTAAGGATAGATTTGCAGTTGGATAATACTTATTCCAATTCTTTGATTTCTCTTATGGTGCTTCTGCTCAACTTACAAACTTTGTTGTAAATGTTATTGAAACTTCATTTTTCATATCACTGGTGGATGTTCACTAGATGTGTTACTGTATCCATGAGGACTATTATGAATTTTTAATTTTTGATTATATCTTTGACACCTAATCCTTTATATTTTATTTCAGACAGCCGCAAGTTACCATGCTATAGCAATTGCCCTGTCATTGATGGAAGCTTTCCCTTTGAGTGTTCAGCATGAGCAAACAACCTTGCAAATCCTCCAAGCTAAGCTGGGCCCAGATGACCTGCGTACGCAGGTATTCCTTTTTCATTGGTCCAAAAGACTAAAATATGGAATATTTATTTTTATACCTCTTTGCTACCTTGAGATACATTGATCATATGTTGCAGTGGCTCAAACCCATAAATCAAAACTTCATGATGCTAGCTATCCCATATTTCATCTTGCTAAATGTTGGCAATCAGCTAGACACAAAGATGCACAAACTCATGACACAACATGGATACAAAAATTTTCAAAATTATGTGGGACACAACAAGTGAGGTTATGCATAAAATATATAATTTATATATTTATTATATGGCACATATAAAGATAAAAATTTATTATGTGTCATATATATGAATATTTAATTCAAAAATAATAATGTTTAAAGTGTAAAGGAGGATAACATGTATAAATTTACGTTAATTTTCTTTTATCACTGGACTCCTAGTTATTTTATTCAAATTTATAATGTGTTTCATTTCATGTATGTCTAAGTGATAGACATGTATTTCTCAAGTGTCTGAAAGCGTGTCTGAATCAATAAATTTTTAAAAAATTGTAGGACATGTTTGGACGGTGCAACAGGTGTTGGAAGTGTCCAAAAAATGTCATGTCTTGTCATTGTCCAACATGACACGCTATCTACTTAGAAGTGTTGGTGTTTCTTAGGTTGGAACTGGGTTGGTTAATACCATTAGCATCACTTAGATGTTTAACTAGGGCTGTATCAATCAAGTGAATGACTTGATTCAAAGAATTTGAGTACCACTTGTTTGGCAAGGCTAATAATAGATTGTTTCTTTTTCTTTTTCTTTAGTTTTTCAGCTATGAGTTAAAACTTGTTTTAATTTTGTTCTATTAATTTTTTTGCTGTCCACAAATGGTTGTGAACTCTGTATCTCAATGTCTCAGGATGCTGCTGCTTGGCTCGAGTATTTTGAATCCAAGGCTTTTGAACAGCAAGAAGCAGCACGGAATGGGACTCGAAAGCCCGATGCGTCCATAGCCAGCAAAGGCCACCTAAGGTATAGCCGCAATTTTTCTGTCAATATGAACCTTTATCCAATCAATACTCATAAAGTTTTTTAATGTGGTTATTGTATGTATATTTGTTCTAGATTGTTGTAAACATGCAATGTATAATGGGAAAAAAGGTAACCCAGCAAACTATCACCCGGAAAACTGAGGGTGCTGAATTTAGTGGATTTCAAATAAACAATTTAGAACTTTGTTTTATTTTTTGCTGCACATGAATTTTTTTATTTGGCAGTGTGTCAGATTTGCTTGACTACATTAATCCAAGTCAAGATGCCAAAGGGAAAGATGATGTGGCAATGAAGAGGAAAACCTATATTATGAAGGTATGCTCCCTTCATCTTCATGTTTATTGAAATTGATCCAAAACCATGATTGATGCCTATGAGATAGGGGATATATTGACCAGTTTCTTTTCAGTTTTTACTAATAATGGTGGCAGTGAAAGATTTTCACTGTTGGCATATGGCCCATCCATCTGTTGGCTGCCTAGGCTATTACAAGGTAGGAAGCCTATTTTTAACAGTTTGGAGCCATTCAAAAAGGCCCATTAAATGGGCAAACGGCGTCAATTAAAGCCTGCTAGCCAAATTAAGGCTCATGTGTGAGTGTGCTGCAATGAGCCTTCTCTGTTGCCTAATGTTGCTTACACCTTTATGCACCAAGGCTGGTGGCGGCTCTATTTGGTTGAGATTTCAGAACTTGTTTTCTGAATTTTTTTTCAAAAAATAAAAAATAGTTTGACAAGAATATAAACAACGCCCAATTAGTACACATTAATGTGCGTTTAGGAGTTGAAAGATTGAGTATACGCCTAACCTTTGGCATAATGTACAAAATGGTAGTCCCATGACTTGATCCTATAACCCAAGGTTATTAGTCGAACTCTTAACCATTGAATCAATGGTCACTCCTAGTTTGACAAAAATATACATCAAAAAAATATATTTTTGAAATTTCAAAATTTATTCCACCCCGAAAAAAGAAAACCAATATGAAAATAATGAATCTTTATTCTTTCACCAAGCTAATTTTTGAGAATTTTCAAAAAACAGATTCTGAAACTTCAACCAAACAGATAAAACTAAGATGTCATTGATTTAGGTTTAGGTTTTTAAATCTGTTGTGCAGGTTAAGGGGAAATCTGACCAAAACTTCAGTGTTGCAATTTCCGAGGGATCTGCAGAGGATACCCCAAAAGAGGCATCAGATGAAGAGAAACTAATTACTGATTCTGAATCTGACACAAATGTGAATGATGAAATCATCTCTCCACCAGTTAAGCCCATAGAGCTTGTACATGACAAAACTACCGAGGACAAGCCAGTTCAGTTCAAACAGCCCAAGCTGGAGGAAACTGCTGCAGAAAAGCCAATAGTTGCCAGAGATGTTTTAGCTGAATCACATGCCGAGGGAGAAGATGGATGGCAACCGGTTCAAAGACCAAGATCCGCTGGCTCGTATGGTCAGCGACTAAGGCAGCGACATGCAACTGTCAGTAAGGTTTATGGTTATCAGAAAAAAGATTTGGTTTCTGAATCGGATTATGCCAGACTTAATAGTAACTATCAGAATAGTAGGTATTACCTGTTAAAGAAACGAACAGTGTCTCCGGGAAGTTATGCAGATTACCATACAGCGAAGAGTCCCTCCTCAAATACCAAATTTGGGCGAAGAATCATAAAAGCTGTAACATATAGAGTTAAGTCCGTACCATCATCGGAACCTGATCCAGTGTCTGCACTGAGAGAAGTTGAACAAATATCGCAGAAAAGTTCAATAGTTAGCCTTGGAAAATCTCCTTCATACAAGGAAGTAGCACTGGCCCCACCAGGTACGATTTCGATGTTGCAGGTTAGGGAGTCTGAGAATGATATTCCCGATGATAACAAAGAGTTTGGTGTTGGAAACAATGGATTAGAAAAAAAGGAAGCAAAAGAATATGCTGACATGATAACAGAGGCTGAAAACGTAAAGGAAGAGAAATTTGAGGATTTTGTGTTGAATTCCAAAGATGACTCGAACGGTGGAGTTGAAGATGTTGACAATAAGGAAGAAACTAAATCAAACAATGTGATGACGCATAACCACAACAAAGAGCTTGGTGTTGGAATGGACGGATTAGATACTTACATAGCAAAAGAAAGTGCTGACATGATAATAGAGGCTGAAAACGTAAAGGAAGAGAAATCTGAGGATTTTGTGTTGAATTCCAAAGATGATTTGAACGGTGGAGTTGACAATGTTGACAAGATGGAAGAAACTAAATCAGACGATGCGATAATGGATAAAAAATCTGAGATTGTGTCTGCAATCGTCAAAGTGGTTAAATCTAGCTGTGTGGAAACTGGAGTTGAAAATGTTGACAAGAAGGAAGAAACTAAATCAAACGATGTGATGCTGGATGAACATACTGAGATCGTATTTGCAATTGTTGAAGCGGTCAAATCTAGCATTGTGGAAGTTGATCAAATGGTACACAAGAACCTCCAAACCAATGACATGCCAAATTCAATTGAGTCTCCCCAAGTGGAGCTCAGCGAGAATGATTCATCCGAATCAGATAATAATTCAAATCCCACCTTGCAAGGAGTTGAGGATTTAAAGGATAGATCCTCAGTTTCTTGTTCAGGCGATGCTCGGGAATTATCCAATAAGTTGTCCGCATCAGCAGCTCCATTCAACCCATCACCAGCTGTTGCACGTGCACGACCAGTGTCAATGAACATTACTCTCCCTTCTGGTCCCGGTGCTGTTGCAACCATTGGCCCTTGGCCATTGAACATGACTCTTCACCCCCGGCCTCCTATGGCCTTGCCCATGGTTATTCCTATGTGCTCATCCCCTCACCCGCCATACCCTTCACCTCCACCCACCCCGAACATGATACACTCATTGCCATTTTTTTACCCTATATATACTCAACCCCAAGCTGTGCCAACCACTACCTTTCCTATTACTAGCAACCCCTTTCATACCAATCATTTTGCATGGCAATGCAATATTAGCCCTAATGGAGTTCATTGGCCTATGTGCCGCCCAATGGAGTTCTCTGTCTCACCAACTGTTGTTGAGCCAATCATCGGTCCTATTGTGGAACCGAAGGAACAAGTTGATAATTCTGAAAGCCCGAGTTTGGCTCCTAACCCGCTGGTGGACATTGCCAATGGCAGTGAAGCTGATAAAGAATCGAACTTTCTAGCATCAGAGGCAGTGGAAATTGGAAACAAAGTGGCTATTATTAGATCAGAAGATGAGAAAGAAATCGGTGATTTGAATCCACACGGTGTTCTAAGTTCTGGGGATCAACCGAATCATAGTAACACTCTTGATGATCAGGTGTCAACACACCCTCGGAAAATTGATAGCGAGAAAACCCTCAACATTTTGATAAGTGGGAGAAGAAACCGAAAGCAGACACTGCGAATGCCGATAAGTTTGCTCAAGAGACCTTATAGTTCAGAGTCTTTCAAAGTTGTGTATAGCAGAGTACTCCGAGAGAGTGAAGCTCTCAAGTCTTCCAGCTTTACTTCAAATGAAAATACTATAACCAGTGGCAAGTAAGGCAAGTTTTTGTTGCTCTTACCCGTTAAGTATAGTGGAGTGGTTGAGAGGAAGTAGAAATTGTATTCCTTGATCATGAACAAGAAAGAGAGTAGTATATTGAAGCTTCCGATTTTCACAGTTTCATAGTTTCTTGGCCTCTTACACCACTTCTTGAAAAAATACAGGTTAGTCCCCTACAAGCATAGTCTATTTCCTTTAATTTAATTTTTTTTTTCTTAAGGAAACTACTGTTAGATTGAGTTTTCAAAATCATTTTTCCCCCTTCAAAAACTAGAAAATAGTTAAATGAAAATAAACGCCAAAAAAATAATTGCCAATTTTCAAAAATAATTTTCGCCCCCCCAAAAGAAATACTACAGAAGAATGATGACTATTTTTTTATTATTATTTTACCAAACTAGTTTTAGTTTTTTTGGGAAAAAAAAAAAAAAAAAAACGTTTTGAAAAAAAAAAAAAAAAAAAAAAAAACCAGAAAACAGTTTTTGAAAATTTAAGCAAACAAGTTGTGGACTCATTTGTCTTTTACAAAGTTCAGTTTCCATCATCTTGAATTTTAGCTCTCTGCTTTTTGAATCTTCTGGACATCATAAAAAGTCCGATATTATTGTTAGTTATTATGATAGGGGAATTAAAACAAACAAATCTTATTGCAGAATACCACAATCTCTCAAAGCTGCTATATGAACATTTGGAGGCCAACATGCAGCTGCACAGCGCTCAGAAATTTCTGTCCATAAACTGTCAATGGAGGAACTTTGGGACTGTCTTTTAACATCAGGTACTATCTTGTTATTCCAGTTTTGAATTTTCTCTTGTAAGTATTCTGGAAAATTATATATTAGGATATATTTAACTACAACTTAAAATAATAGCAGTTTGTTGGTTTGAAAACTCATGTTGTTCTACTTGAGAGAATGTCAAGAACAATTTTTTTTTGTAACTCCCAAGGGGGTTGACCTAGTGGGTGCAACTTGGGGCCTAGGGGTGTGCTCCCTCTAGGTCTTAGGGTCAACTCCCATTAGGTAGGAGCAATCCGCTCCTTGAGGCCACGCCCATGGGTTCTATCCGAGATTTGCCCAATCCATATGGAGGGGGCGCTTTGCGTGAGTCCCGGGATTAGTCGAGGTGCGCATAAGCTGACCTAAACACCCGATCATCAAAATAATAATAATAATAATTTTTTGTGGCTCTTGTAAGCACAACTAAGGGGTGATTTCATAATTGGGATAATTACACAAACCTTTGCAATTTTTTATTCCGGTTTGATTGTTACGTCAAGTTAAAATGTAGGGTGTTTTCAAGGGGATTTTGGCATTGATAAATTTCACAATAGCCTTTCTAATTTCACATGAGTTTCAATTTGATCCATGTTATTTTAATTGCAACACATTTTGCCCTATAATATATTTTTTTTAATTTTGTGTCAATTAAGGACAATTGATAACAGACATCTGAATTTTAGGCGGAAAATGCTAACATGCACTACATGTGACCAATGTTTAAGGACAAAATGATCTTTTCAAACTTTAATCTGTTATTTGATCAATGGTTTGCTTGATGTGCAGGTTTACAACAGGAAATATACTTTTTGGGATTTGAAAGGTGTATTTTTACCTGATGAATGTTCATAGTTGGGAAGTTTGTGTGATTTTGTTTATAACAATAAAAAAAAAAAAACTAAAATCTAGTTTTTTGATTTTTGATAATTAATTTTGATTTATTTGTATATGCCAACATTTTTGTCTTTTGACTGGGTGTGTTGGTTATTGAAAAATGTTGAAAAATGTTGGGAAAAATATTCTAATATCAATTTGTATTGATTTTCTCATATTGCTCATCCATTTTTGAAATGCTTATCAGCCTAGATATATAGATTAATGTGCATGTGAAATGCAATTAAGATCTGTTTGTTTTGACAGAAAAGGTTTTCTGGAAAATGTTTTCCCAATAGTACCTCTCCTCCATGCTGTTGCTTGCAGAAACCAAGCAATGGTTAAAAATTTGTGTTTAAAAGTTCAAACTGTGACTATTTTCAAAGGGAAAAAAAAAGAAGATTTGAAGATGACACTCTGCTAGAAAATCTTGCCCAAAGTATAAATTCCATTCTTCTCCAAAAATTGGTTTTGACAAGAACCGAGTCTGATGAAGAAAGAATAATGCTCTCAGGTAACAAATTAAACAGAACAACGAATCAAAAAGCTGTAAAAATTGTAATATGAAACAAAGAGCTCTCTCTCTATATTTGGCATACATCGAGAATTTGGCTTCTTTTTTTTTTTTTTTTAATTTTGTTCCAATCAAATGTAAGGGAAGTTCACACATGGCTTCGCAATCAAATGTAAGGGAAGTTCACACATGGCTTCAAACGGTATGTTTTTCATGTTCAAACTCGGTTTAACCCCAGTCAGCCATGAGGGTTAAACATGGGTGCATCCTCCTTAGGTAAAAAAGCATAGATCTTACTCACCCTGAACCAAAAAAAAAAAATGTACTCCAAATCTCAGATTTTCACAATAAAATTTTTGATAAAAACATTAGGGATAAATTATAAATACACCCCTTGAGGTTTGCTTAGCCCCTGTAATTTGAAAAATTACAAATATCTTCTTGCTAAAAATTTTTATTTAACAAAATTAACTACAAAAAGAAATTCATAATTGCTCTCCTATACAATAATAAAATTACCTAAATTATTAATTGAAACATATTTATAATATTATTAAAAATTATTAATTGACTTGATTTATTAATAAAAGGGACGATTTGTTATGAAATTAAAAACTTCAGGGGATGGAATGTAATTTTCAAAACTATAGGAGACGATTTATATTTTAATCAAATCTCAAGAAGTGAATTTGTAATTTACCCAAACATTAAGGAAAATGTCAATACAAGGATTGGATTTCCTTTGGCACCATTGTTTGTTTCTTCATTTCTGAACCAAAAAAAAAAAATGTACTCCAAATCTCAGATTTTCACAATAAAATTTTTGATAAAAACATTAAGAATAAATTGTAAATACACCTCTTGAGGTTTGCTTAGCCCCTGTAATTTGAAAAATTACAAATATCTTCTTGCTAAAAATTTTTATTTAACAAAATTAACTACAAAAAGAAATTCATAATTGCTCTCCTATACAATAATAAAATTACCTAAATTATTAATTGAAACATATTTATAATATCATTAAAAATTATTAATTGACTTGATGATTTATTAATAAAAACGACGATTTGTTATGAAATTAGAAACTTCAGGAGATGGAATGTAATTTTCAAAACTATAGGAGACAATTTGTATTTTAATCAAACCTCAGAGAATGTATTTGTAATTTACCCAAACATTAAGGAAAATGTCAATACAAGGATTGGATTTCCTTTGGCACCATTGTTTATTTCTTCATTTTTCTGACTTATTTCATCGTTAATACACTTTTAAAAATTAAGTTGATTTTTTAAATTTTTTTTACGTCCATCTAACTTAGATAACCTCGAAAATCAATATATATATATATATATAATTAAAAAAAATTAAAAGACAAAATAAATCAAATTATATACATATAACCTTTAACAGTTAGCTTATTTTTGTCTTTAGTATTTTTTTTTTTTTTCCAATATTTTTTAGATTGTCTGGATCGAGACAAATTTAATATTAAAACTCATTTACATGTTTAGGCTATCCTAGTTTTGGTGCTTAATTGTATTTGTTGCATCATCTTAATGCTTGTTTATAACAAAACTCATTTATTTATCCCAAAAAAAAAAAAAAAGTAACATATTATTAAAGAAAGCTGCTATAAGAGCTGGTTTGGCAATTGTTTCTTAAACAACTTTTTTGTTGAGTTCATTTTTTTCATTTTTCATTTTTTTTTTCTTTTCTTTTTCAAACAACTTTTTTACTTTTAGGTCCTATTAGGTGAGATAACCCTAAAAATTAAAAAACTTAAAAATGAAAAAATTCAGATAAAGACTAAAAGAAAAAGAAAAAGAAAATCACTATTAAATACAAAATAATTTTTTTTTAAAAAAAAAACTTTTTCAGCATTTTCTAAACAAAGGTGAAAGGCAAAAATAAGCTTAATTTTTTTTCAAATTTATAAATTGCAATCAAAAGAATCCGGGGACTTCCGTGTAGATCCTAATAAGTAGACTTATTGTCCAATAGGTCATATGATAATTAATGGCATTTTTCATTAAATACTATTAAAAAAAACTTTACTAATTGTTAATTTTTAGAGCCAGTTTAAAAATTTTATCACAAAAAAATTACTAATTATAAGTTTTAACGACAGTTTAAAAAAATCATCACAAAAAAAGTCACTAATCTTCAACTTTCAGGGACAATTTGAAATATTTGTTACAGAAAAACATCACTAATTGCAAATTTTAACAACAATTTATAAAAATCGTAACAAAAAAAAGTAGCTCATTGTCAATTTTTAACGACATACGTAAAAAATCGTCACAAAGAATTATTTTTAACGATGATTTTACTAGGATTTATTTTCAATAGAAATTAATTAGGATTAAATCCAACTATTAAGATCTATTAGTAGTTTAGAATTGAAGGACGAGCGAGAGGGAGAAGGAGAGCGCGCAAACCTTTGGTTAAGAGTTGTTGAATATGGGTTACTCATGCGAGTTGGGTTGGAAGGCCGGAAGGATATCAGAGTCATGAGACTCTTTTTGCCTTGCCAACACTTCTAAAACAATAGTTGTAGCTAAAACCGTACCGAGAAGAAATATATAACCCGTTTTCCATTCACTCCCTGCCTTGCCAATTTGCATCCCCAAAACTATGTTCAAGTTTCCAAAGAAAAGTGCAATCCTTCCAACCCAATGGTGGTACCAATTCCAGTATTTTCTCACCTTGCTGCCCTTGTCAGGTCGTGCCACGATCGCCAAGACCTAAGTGTCCATTTAATTAGAAAGAAAATAAATGATGAAAAGTGAAAATAGTAAAAAGTGAAGGAAAAAAAATATATATTTTCTTGTATGAATTTGATTAGCATGAAGATTTTGCAAGAAAATAGGAATTCTAATTGTGAGCAACCACTGTTGTAATAAATTTAAACTTTATTGTATTTTACTGTACTTTTGGTAAGAAATTAGAAGCTTAATTACTCCGCTATCATGAGTTTCACCACTTTCATGATAAACGAATTTAGAAAAAAATTATTTTTGTCTATTTCTGTCAAAATCCTAACCAAACTTAGCCAAATAAAAAATGGAACTGCAGAACCAAACTGGAACCAAACCTTTTTTTGCAGTTTGGTTCTGGTTCGGTTCCAAGGGTTATACGGATCTGTAACTTGCAACTATATGAATCGGTCACCAGAACAAGGGTCACAAGTTAATTAAAAGCATAACACTTGAAATAAGTGGAAAGTATAATGAGATTGAATAAGATCAGCGAAAAACCTGGAGAATGCTAAGCACAAGAACAAAGATTCCGATGCCTCTGTGAGTTGGAAAATGGGCATGAATTCTGTTATAGAGCGATGCTCCAAGTATGACAGCAGCGACGCCCAATATAAATCCCACAAACTGAATGCTCACATGAAGGTAATACCATAGTGGATCATGATGCTTAAAGTATCGAGCAGCGATTGCTCCAAAAGGAAGAAACAGACCCCATCCGATTAAACCTAATATCCCATGGGAATGCTTCGCTTGACTAATTTCATCTAATGCAGGTGCAGGTACAGATGCAGCAGAAGCAGAAACTGAAAGAATGAATTACATATCATCTCAACCGCTAAAGATTTTTATCCCAAAACCGAGGAAACTGAATTAAAACCTTTAGGTGTCATTTGTACCAAAATCAACTGTACTACGAATAGTTAACATTGTAAAAAAATGAAGACACCTACACCAGGCGAATAATTAATTGGAATATGAGTTCGGTAATTGCATCACAAACTATTAGTAAATGGGTTCAAAATTCTCAAGAAAACCAGTGAAATTTTACAAACTTTCAATTCACAGGGCCTTAAAAAAACATAGTACTAAAACTGTAACCACATATTTTCCTAGAAAAACAAAATCTTAGAAATCTAGCAGGTCTTTTCTCTTTATTGCCCAAAATTACAACCCAATTTGGTTGGAAGAGGTAGAACAAAGAGAGGAGAAGAAGAGAAGGTAAAGGATACAGACGAAAAGATTTGATTATTTTTCTATGCATTGATATTGGCAAGTGACTACCTCCTAAATATCTGGCCACATTACTTGTCTTCTCCATTTATGTATTAGAATATAAACAAAATCCGATCCCTTTTTTGCCGATCAAAAAAAGTAAACAAATAAAATCCAATCCTTTGTATTCCAAAATGGACAAAACAATTTTGAAAAAAAGGAAAAGAAAAAAAAAGGAGGGCAAATTACACTGACACCACCTAGATTGTTATGAAATCAGGGAGTCATGAGGCACCCCTTATTCTCTGAAAGTACACTAACATTCCTGTTAGCTAACACCTCCATGGTACCCATTTTATGGCCCTAGACAATTAATCTGGCTTAATATTCCAGAGTTTTTTGGCAGATGTGCATTGCCACCATATCCGCCAAAACCTAAATTTGATCAGGAATATGCGACAAAAACCAAGAAGAAAAATGAGGACTACTTTACTACATTGATTTTACTTGTGTTGAGGGTGCTCTTTGCAGTTGGAAAGGGGTTAGGGCTGCGAAGCAGAGTGGAAGGCTTGGGATCTTGCACTTTGGTGTCCAGCATAATCAGCAGATTTTTCAGGGGGTGGCTGTTTTTGTTGCTCATTTGAAGACTAGGCTCTTGGTGGTTTTGTATACAGTTGGGTGTCGAGGAGAGAGAATCCAAGGTAGTGTTTGGTAGAACTTTAGAATTATGATTTAAGATAGAGTTGTATTTTGAGTTTGTGAGTTTTGGAATTATGATTTAAGCGTGGAAAATTTATTTGGATATGAGTTTTGAATTGAATTTGAAATTTTTGATGTAACATAATATTTGATTCAAAAATTTACAACTCATAACCAAAGACACGACCCAAAATTCTATTCAAAGCTCATAAAAAATTTTAAAAATATTCCGAAAATATTTTTTTTTAAATATAAAAATAACAGGTGCCAAAAAAAATAAAAAATAAAAAAAAATTGTTCCAGTCAACCGGCCGGACGTTCGGGGGGACATCCGGGAGGATGACCGGGTAAACATGTTTTCAAAAGTGGGTGTGGAATCAATGTTTGAAAATTGTAACCAAACAACGCACTCAAACCAAGGTGTAGAATTAAGTTTCCAAAACTCCACCAAACATGGCCCAATTTTTTTTTTTTTTTTTTTGTGTGTGTGGATTTTTTAGATACTCTATATGTCTAGGGGTTGGTGTTGATTGGTTTGTGGATGTATTTGTTAGCATCGCCTTGATGCTCTTTTATTTATCCAAAAAAAAAAAATACAGATTTTACCTGAATATACTCTTCATCTAGTAGACTTATGTGTTTGAAATCTTAAATGAACAAAATAACAAGTATTGTTGATGACAACAAATGCACTCCCAAAGGACTCAAACATACCTGCAGAGAAGTCGAACATTATACTTGTTTTGTCGTCGTGTGGATATAGGAGGTGGTTCTTTGTTGGATATTTAGTCCCATAAGCCAATAGAACCGGTTGGCGAGCAAGCAGAGAGGCAAATTTCAGCTGAAATGCTATGTAGATTGTGGCACCTTGAAGCGCCACAAACGCAGGAACTTTAGTTAGTGGCAAATCACCTTTATCTGGTACCACAGCTGATTGCTCAAATCCTTTCAAATAATACTGCTTGACATTTGCTTGACCTTCTTTACTAATCCATCCCACCATGGAACTGGCATTAAGCATCATCCCATCTTTCGAAAAAGCCATTCCTACCCATCCACTTGTATACTCAGCCGATACTACAATTGTCACGACATTGTCTTTAGTTTGTGAGTACTGCAAGAGTAAGCATATATTAGAAAAATGGAAATATATAAAATGGCTATGAAACATGGTTGCCATTCATGATTTATTTATTTTCACTTTTATTTTTCTGGAACATTAGTTTTTCCAGGACAAATTTTCAATTGATTTACAATTGGAGAATAAATGTTTTGATGAAAATAATTTATGAGGCGAGGACTTATTATGACGAATGTTTTCATGTTTCTCTGTACTAGAAACACTTTTATTAGGAATTGTTTTACAAACACCAACAATACAATATTATGATTACCAAAAAGGAAATTCAATGAAGAAATAGTTTGAGTCCATAAATAATCACAAAAGGAAAACATTTTGATTCTAATCTTTAAATAGAAGAAAAAGGGAAAGGAAAAAAAGTTTTTTTTCCCATTATTATTGCCACATGTTATCTCAATTCCTTGAGCTCAAGAAGTTATGTTTGTGTCATTCTTAATGTATAATTATCTCATTATTATTGCCACAAAATTTTGAATTTTTTCAATCATTTTCACCAAATTGAAAACATTTTCGAATTTTCCCAAACCCCAAATTATCCCAATTCAACTGTCCAATTTTATTTTTGGTAAATTACATATGCACCCTGATTGTCCTTATAATTTAACATGTTATCTCAATTCCTTGAGCTCAAGAAGTTATGTTTGTGTCATTCTTAATGTATAATTATCTCATTATTATTGCCACAAAATTTTGAATTTTTTCAATCATTTTCACCAAATTGAAAACATTTTCGAATTTTCCCAAACCCCATATTATCCAAATTCAAGTGTCCAATTTTATTTTGGGTAAATTACTTATGCACCCTGATTGTCCTTATAATTTTAAAAATTACAAATACCCCTTGTCAGGATTTTTAATTTAACAGTATTACCAAAAAAAAAAATAAAAATTTTAACTACTCTTTTATACAATAATAAAATTACTTTAATTGTTAATTAAAATATATTTTTGACATAATTTAAAATTATTAATTGACTTAATTATTTATTAATAAAATTATTAATTTGTTATGCAATTAGAATTTTGAAGAGACTTAATATAATTTTCAAAACTACGTGATATAATTTTTAAAATTACATGACACAATTTGTATTTATAATCTACCTTTTTTGTTATTTTGAATTTTGATTTCTTCAAAAAAAAAAAAATCCTCTTCCATTTACATTCAATTCAAATGATAGTTTTTTTACACAATGAAGCAACAAAAATTGCAGAAGGAGATGGAAATGAAACGGACCTGTATAACATATGAATTCCAAACAGGTTTACACACCATCTTAGATGTGTCTCCGAACGTTTCAGGGATAACTTTGGAGAGATCGGCATTGCAACGAGAGGCCGCTTCTGCATTTGCACCGCCGTTGTCGGCTGCGGAAACCGCCGCCACAATCAGAACCAATGCGAACCCTAGCCGCGAAATCCTGATTCTCGAATCTTCCATTGAAAGTGACATAAATAAATAAATAAAAATTTTAAATTCAGAGTCGAGTTGAGGATTGTTTGGTGGGAGTGATTTGAATGATTTGATTTTGAAGGTGGTTGGTTGGAGGTGGCGTGTAATGATTGTTCCCGCCAAATCCTTGCAAGAAACAACCTAACCACCCCAGCTCTGGTTTTTTCTCACATGCACATGGTGATGATGATGGTGTGGTGGAGGTTATGATAATGTTTTTTGAATTTGGATTTAAATAATGTAATGACTATTGTTAGAGGAAGTTAGGAGGGCTATATTTAGACCATGTGTGGTGTGTCATTGACATTTTGTTGAACAAGTCAAACTCAAGAAGAAATTATATGGTAATCTATTCTACACAATTTTTATTAATACATCATTTCATTTTGATTTTTAATGAAGTGGAAGAACCCTTTGTATAGTTCCTTTCACGTCATTAGAGGGAGGTAGAGTATTTAATTAGAACTCCTAAATATATATATATATATATATATTATATTATATTATTTGGATTCAACTTCTCTTTTTAAGTTTAAATTTGAACTTGAGAATTTTGTGGAGTTTACTATAAGTTTTATTTTAATATTTTGTAAAATCTTTGTGTATATTATTCACGAAAAAAATTTAAGTCAATATGATAATAGTAAAATCTAAATTTTTTTATGAATGATATATATTAATGATCTTATAAAATAAACGTTTTAGATTGTCGGAATGACCTGTAGTGAACTCCATTAAACCTCTTAAATTTCTCTAGAATTTAAATTTAAACATTACAAAAAAAAATCCAACCTTTTATTCACACTTCGCTTGAGGAGTTGGTTATTTTAGTTCGTTTTTTAATTTTTGGCTATTTTATAGCTTGGTTAAAAAATTTGTTTTTTGAAAATTGGTTGGCTTTTTTGAGGAGTTGATTTTGATGGTTATAAAAGAAAAAGTGAAATGATTATGATTTAAATGTGACATTTTATCTTGTTGATTATTCTAATTTACTTTATTTTTATTAACTATTTTAACCCAAAAAAAACTAAAAAAGCAACTGTGCCAAACATGCAAGACAATGATGTAGAAACTTTGATAAATTTCAAATTAAAGGAGGCTCCCAAATGAAGCAACTTTAAACAAATAAAGAATAACACTTTTAGGAATTCACACTTAAAAAAAACCAGAAAAACTCAAGATTTGAAATCAAGGGTGGAAATTCATTAATGGTGTGACCACATAATAACAACTCTAATTATACATCATAGATTTAATATTTTGAAATATTTTTTGAATTTTTTGCAGGTCCATTCACTTGATATAAAGATAATTTACAGACAATTTTTATATAAAAACTTAACTAAAATGATATAAGAGTGACATTATTAAAATTATACTAAAAAATAGGTAAGAAAATTTCTGTCCAAAACTACTGTGTCCTGTTGAAAACTTACCATTTATATATATATATTTGCAAAGCCATACATCAACAGGGGTTGTAGCTCATATGGTAGAGCGCTCGCTTTGCATGCGAGAGGCACGGGGTTCGATTCCCCGCAACTCCATATTTTAGTTTTCACTTGTATTGTATTTTATTTTCAATAAATACAATATTTGATTGAAAAATACCCTTAATAATTTTCAATTCAATTTTTTTTATTCTTTTTTAATTTACAAAAATCATATCCTATTATTACATTGTTAAGTCATAAATGTGTAATTAATTATTTATTAAACATATTAAAAATGGGTGATTGACCCGTAAATCTCAAAAGGTGACTTGTGGATCAACCAGTCACAATTTTATTTTAATGAACACGGAAATCTCATTGAATGGGAATTGGCACATTTGGCCATGTGGTTTTCTATATTAGCCACGTTTGAAAAATACACTACCCATGTTTGGAAAAAGGACTTTTTTATTTGTTTTGTATTAGCTACAATTGAAAAATACACTAAGGACAACGTTTGGAAAATACACTAGTCACGTTTCACGTTTGAAAAAAGTACACTAAAGGCTTTCTTTATTTGTTCTGTATTAGCTACATTTAGAAAATACACTAGTCACGTTTCACGTATAGAAAAAATACACTAAGGACTTTTTTATTTGTTCTATATTAGCCATGTTTGGAAAATACACAAAAAGGACTTTATTAGCCACATTTGGAAAATGTAATACATCCGAAAAAAAAAAAAAAAAAAGAGTCCGACAATCAATAAGAGTAAAAACGTCTTAACGCGACACAATAATGGCCTATTTTGAAAAGATGGTAAAAAGTGACTTTTGGACTTTTAACCAAGCTTTTAGCTTTTTTAGACAAATGATTTGGGAAGTTGATAAAAAGTTACTGTTTGTTTTTTGATTAATATTTGTTTATGATGTCAAATTATAATAAAATGACTAAACTATCCTCATTTAATTTAAAAATATCTACAATTTCACCCATATAACACATTTTGACCCATGGGGGGTAGAATTGTAGTTTCACCAGTGGCTGAAAACCAACTTTCCAAATAAAAAAAATACAAAAAAACCAAATTTTAGCCTTTGCCATACACCTAAAAAAGTGACTAAAAGCCAAGTTCCCAAAACACCCCGATATATTAAATAAGATCTTATAAAAAAAAATATTTCCAAATGAACAAAACCTGCAAGTCTTAAGAAAAATAAAAAAGATTTTCATGATATATAGATTTCTGAAGTGAGATTTTCAAGTAATACATTATATTCCTGCTAATTTTGTCTTAATTTCCTTTTTTTTTTTACATTTTTTTTTTTTTTTTTTTGGTCTTAATCTCCTTGAGATTTCATATAATTTGGCATAATTAGATTAGGTAACTATGTGCAGCCTGCAAAATTATTGTGTGTCTACTGCAATTTCTATTTATAATTTATAATACAAAAATTATTTGAATATGCTAAGAAAACCGAATTATTGAGAAATATGTTCTTCATTTCTGTGTTTTGATTATCAATTTTTAATTTCAATAAACTATACCAAACATCACCAAAGAAAATTGTTTCCAAACCTATATAAAAAATAAAATGTAAAATTGATGAACCAAAAAAATATAGAGAAATGGAATCTCTTATGCTGTGTTTGACACTTCAAACACTTGAATTTATAGAGAAAATTTTATTTAAAAAAATGGAATCATTTCCCTCTAAAAACCTAATATCCAAACACAAGCTTAATGTAAGTTCAAAAGACTTGATCAAAAGCTCCTAAAAATAAGACCACTTGGTACCTCTGAAAAATAAAGACCACTTCCCATGGAAAAATTATCCCCATATGACTAGCTCAAAATCAAAATCCGAAACTCAAAATCAATCTGATAAAAAAAGCACAGCAAACACTACCATGAAACAAAAACAAAAATAAAACCGAAGAAATAAAAGTAGAATCGAGAACCCTCTACTTGTCGCCTTCATAACATTCATGTCCAAAGCATTCTACAACACAAGTGCCCAGTAAGAATGCAAATTCAGTTTCCAAATACCAGTGTAATATTGTTGATACAATATAACTCATCGTGTCAATCTTTTCCGAGTGTAATAAAAAATACAGAGGCAAATCATGATCGGCCCTTCCCTTCCACTGACGTATAAAAAATCAGGTCATCAATCAAATAATCACAGCCCTCCGATTACTGACTCTACTTAGACCAGGCAACTGCATCAATCTCTGATTGGGCAGATCTGTAGAGCTCAAGTCTCTTCGCAAGGTTTATACGTCGCTGCATTATTGTTGGATCCTCATCCAACAATGAGCCCAACTGTTTCGCCTGTAAACCAAAAATTTGAAAGGTAAATAAGCAACCATCTAGATCCTCTTATTCTTGTCAATTGTTTTCTTCTCTTTTTTCCAGGTTTTTAAATATCGAGATTCACCAATATATCAGTCAATATTGTCTGATATCAGCCAATTTATGATCGTATAGCTGACCAATGCTGATACGCATACCAACAGTTATTTAAAACAATGCTTTTTTGGGGATTGACGAAGAAAACCTCACCTCCTTTTTACCCAAATCAGTAAAGAAATGGTCGAGTAAGCTACGCTTGGCCTCACGCACTTGACAATAGACGACGGACTTCGGAATGGAGTGCCTCAAACTTCCACAAACCATATTGACATAAGACAAGACAGTTGTTCCTGTTTGAGATAGATAAAATCTTAATTAAAATCGAAACAATTGATACAACACAAACCTTCTGTTAAGTGGATTAGTTGAATCTATTCAAATCTATACTATTACCTAAAGGCCATGTTTGTTTGGGTGGACATGAGCTTGGGATTGGACTAATAGTCCAATAAAATTATTAATCCAATGTTTGGTTAAACAATTGAAGTACGGACTAATTATTTTAAGCTTTACTATTAGTTAAGATAGGATACAAAATCCAACAAATTCGTAGTTCTAGGGCTATTAGTCATGGAAATGTCAATCCAGTCCGCCCAAACAAACATGGCCAAAGTGTACAACCCATTTGATGTGAACACCTTATTGAAGCTTTGTCATGTTTTTTCTCATCCCTAAATTGCCCCTACGTAGTTGTCAATTTCAAATTTTGTTAACTTCTTCAGTTTTTAACAGCGCACACCTTGTATTATATATAAAGTGAACAGGTCAGTTTGGTGTGAGCACCAAATTGAAGTTGTGTGTAGCACTACTTTCATTTCCAAAATTATCCGAGAAAATGCACTTTTTGACTGTTCTAAAAAAATTTTAAAAAATTGTTTCTTACCAATTCGTCTAAGGTACGCCTCATTGTATCTATCAAATATTGAATGCGTTGGATTTCCACCCTTATCAATATCTTGAGGAAGCTTTCGGAAAAAATCAACTGTCAGGTAGCTATACTCCATTTCTACTAGTTGTAGAGATGCTTTTTTGCTTTCTTCCTTCATCCTGTCCAACGATTCACATGCTGCATTTGCAACCTCCACTCTAAGAGTGGGATACTGCTTTAGCTCCTGCATGATTCAAAACGTTTCATAGAATGAGATTACTGAAACTAAATCCACGTTCTTCCTACATCAAGTTTATTGTTATTTCCCCCACAAAGTGTGATGATTATTTGCAAAATCTAAAAAGCTAAGTCCACTAATGCCAAAACCTCATCCCGCCCCATTGCAGTATTACCCTGCATATAATGAAATCAAATTGAAAAAAGCAATATAATGGAGGTGGTCTGGGAACTTGCCATAGTCTCGTTGATTGATTTGTGAACAAGTTCCTTCAGGACGGCATGAACCTGCAATCATTGTGAAAAAAGTATCAAGCAAAGTAAATTGCAAACTCATGCTGACGGTACCAATATGAAAAATGAAAATTGTTAAGTAAATACAAAGTCCATCAACTATTACACCTTGAAATTGTCTTACGAGAAATTTAATGAAATTATGCCTCTAAATGATTGAAAATAGTGCTTTCCTCAATTGATTTATATTTATACACATTTCCCTCTAAAAACCTAATATCCAAACACAAGCTTAATGTAAGTTCAAAAGACTTGATCAAAAGCTCCTAAAAATAAGACCACTTGGTACCTCTGAAAAATAAAGACCACTTCCCATGGAAAAATTATCCCCATATGACTAGCTCAAAATCAAAATCCGAAACTCAAAATCAATCTGATAAAAAAAGCACAGCAAACACTACCATGAAACAAAAACAAAAATAAAACAGAAGAAATAAAAGTAGAATCGAGAGCCCTCTACTTGTCGCCTTCATAACATTCATGTCCAAAGCATTCTACAACACAAGTGCCCAGTAAGAATGCAAATTCAGTTTCCAAATACCAGTGTAATATTGTTGATACAATATAACTCATCGTGTCAATCTTTTCCGAGTGTAATAAAAAATACAGAGGCAAATCATGATCGGCCCTTCCCTTCCACTGACGTATAAAAAATCAGGTCATCAATCAAATAATCACAGCCCTCCGATTACTGACTCTACTTAGACCAGGCAACTGCATCAATCTCTGATTGGGCAGATCTGTAGAGCTCAAGTCTCTTCGCAAGGTTTATACGTCGCTGCATTATTGTTGGATCCTCATCCAACAATGAGCCCAACTGTTTCGCCTGTAAACCAAAAATTTGAAAGGTAAATAAGCAACCATCTAGATCCTCTTATTCTTGTCAATTGTTTTCTTCTCTTTTTTCCAGGTTTTTAAATATCGAGATTCACCAATATATCAGTCAATATTGTCTGATATCAGCCAATTTATGATCGTATAGCTGACCAATGCTGATACGCATACCAACAGTTATTTAAAACAATGCTTTTTGGGGGATTGGAGAAGAAAACCTCACCTCCTTTTTACCCAAATCAGTAAAGAAATGGTCGAGTAAGCTACGCTTGGCCTCACGCACTTGACAATAGACGACGGACTTCGGAATGGAGTGCCTCAAACTTCCACAAACCATATTGACATAAGACAAGACAGTTGTTCCTGTTTGAGATAGATAAAATCTTAATTAAAATCGAAACAATTGATACAACACAAACCTTCTGTTAAGTGGATTAGTTGAATCTATTCAAATCTATACTAATACCTAAAGTGTACAACCCATTTGATGTGAACACCTTATTGAAGCTTTGTCATGTTTTTTCTCATCCCTAAATTGCCCCTACGTAGTTGTCAATTTCAAATTTTGTTAACTTCTTCAGTTTTTAACAGCGCACACCTTGTATTATATATAAAGTGAACAGGTCAGTTTGGTGTGAGCACCAAATTGAAGTTGTGTGTAGCACTACTTTCATTTCCAAAATTATCCGAGAAAATGCACTTTTTGACTGTTCTAAAAATTTTTTAAAAAAATTGTTTCTTACCAATTCGTCTAAGGTACGCCTCATTGTACCTATCAAATATTGAATGCGTTGGATTTCCACCCTTATCAATATCTTGAGGAAGCTTTCGGAAAAAATCAACTGTCAGGTAGCTATACTCCATTTCTACTAGTTGTAGAGATGCTTTTTTGCTTTCTTCCTTCATCCTGTCCAACGATTCACATGCTGCATTTGCAACCTCCACTCTAAGAGTGGGATACTGCTTTAGCTCCTGCATGATTCAAAACGTTTCATAGAATGAGATTACTGAAACTAAATCTCCGTTCTTCCTACATCAAGTTTATTGTTATTTCCCCCACAAAGCGTGATGATTATTTGCAAAATCTAAAAAGCTAAGTCCACTAATGCCAAAACCTCATCCCGCCCCATTGCAGTACTACCCTGCATATAATGAATTAAATTGAAAAAAGCAATATAATGGAGGTGGTCTGGGAACTTGCCATAGTCTCGTTGATTGATTTGTGAACAAGTTCCTTCAGGACGGCATGAACCTGCAATCATTGTGAAAAAAGTATCAAGCAAAGTAAATTGCAAACTCATGCTGACGGTACCAATATGAAAAATGAAAATTGTTAAGTAAATACAAAGTCCATCAACTATTACACCTTGAAATTGTCTTACGAGAAATTTAATCAAATTATGCATCTAAATGATTGAAAATAGTGCTTTCCTCAATTGATTTATATTTATACAGTGTTGTTGTTAAGGCGAAAATGATTTATACAGTGTTGTTGGACATTTGCATCCAAAAATAGCAATCAAGGAGGAGATAGAAATGAATTGGAACACAACTATAATTTCCTCAATTGATTTATATTTATCCAGGATTGGGGTATGCATTCCCATGTTACCAGAACTCTTAACATTCGTTCCAAAGAAACCAAATATAGCTATTGGGATTATATAGATGCCTTTTCCCAGGCTTTTTACTATATGAATCCTCCTCGGAGCCATTCTTGGTTTTTTCGCATCCTTCCCGATGTTCTCAAAAATGATCTCCCAAATTGGTTTCTCATTTGGTGGGATAAATTCGGACTCCAACTTGACGCCTTTCCAGAACACATCAGACTTGCATTCAATGAATGGCAAGTAGCTTTCAGCCAAATTCCAGCAAATAAGGACATTTCTATGTCTAAATGTCTTGTTCATTTTGTTATCAGATTTGGAATTCCATAGATATGGAAGTGGGATTTCAAATGTGATTTCCAAAATAAAATTCCCAAATTAAAAAGAATCTTTCTTTATAAATGGTGGAATAAAATGGATGATCCTAAGCCAAAGCAGGAATTGCTCCAGAAAATCAAGAATCATACACAAGCTTGTTGGGATGCGTCTCCTAAGTCTATCCCAGCTACTCCAATTAATCCTTTTATTCAAATCCAGCAGGAGCTCAGGCAAAAATTTCCAGACTTATCAGAAACAGAGCTTATTGTTAAAAGCATGGATTATATGAAGCAACAATTCCTTCAATCCATGACTAGTAAAGATTCCAGTATGAAATCAACTTCCAGTACTCAAAGTGACGATGATAGAGTTCCTACCGATCCTTACGAAGAAGAAAATGAATTTACAGTCTTAGCGGGTGAGTCTCAAGATCCGAATGAAGACCCGACCGATAATGAACCGAATTATGGTGATCTTTGGGATTCAGTTACTGAAATGATTGCCGACAAATTAATTCAAGCCAAAAGAAAAGGTAAAGGTAAAGGTAAAGATGCATAATGCCTTTAGCCGATCTGTCCATTTTTGCCTTTCCAGCTCAACGACTTTACAGCTCCACAAAACGACAATCCACTTTCGGTGCGATTATTCCAGTCTAACAACTTGTCAGCTAACTTTTGACAAAGGTAGATTCCATTATCTACTTCCTTTCCAGCTGTCCCTCTTTGCCGACAATTGAAGATAACAAGATAGGATGCTCGGCTGCAATACCATTCAGCACACACCACCTGTCTTCATTATCATTTCTTTTGTAATATAAATAGGTAGCCTCCGACTTGTGGAAGGGCACCACTAAATTTTATTTTCCAAGTTTCATATCCTGTATTCTCCCTCTCTCTCTCATTTTCAGTGTGTTTCTTTTTGAAGTTTCAAGCAATCTAATAAAAGTTTGCAGGTTTGACTCTAAGTATTTCGTATCTTTTAATGTATGTCTGTACATCAGTTAGTTATATTAAATGATATATTAGATATTTGGAAAAATAGAAAAATTCATACTGAATATTATATAGAAATAACTCGTAGTAATGATGCTTGGGCTTTACAGCAATTAGAAGAGTGTAATGCTAAAATTGATCAAATACAAAATTTAATTAACGAACAAATTTGCCTTTTGGCAAGGGCTAATCGGCCTCCTCCTCCAGCACAGTAAATTCATGGACCATATATGATGTAATTAAATTTAAATAAAACAAAACTATGTTATACACTATTCCTGGATTTGTGCCGTATGAAAGGTAGCATAAGGTGAGGTTGAGTGGGACGTCATCCAAGTCGCTTAGTTCCAGAGTCCGTCAAGCAGTTAGCGATAAGGACCTTGAGGTAACATAAGTCGTTGACAGAGGTGCTTAGCCTATACCCTGTGTCGAGCACTTTTATTGGTATCAGAGCCATGTGTAGTTTATTTTATAATTTGTTTTATTAATTTTTAAATATGCATATATGGTCATATACAACTAAATAAGTACTGCTCCTTCAGAGGAAAATACAGTAGCCTCTACAGTATCCAATTCAGTAGCCTCGACTTCAGAAGCCAAGGAGCTTGTTGCTTACCAGGAAGTCAAAGAAGCCCTAGATAAGTGGACAATCCCAAAGGTAGACCCAAAGTCCATCTATAAGATTGGAACTAAATTTTTTCAGCAAAAAGATAATTAAAACATTTGAACATGCAGCTCCAGTAGAAAATAATGATACTTTAATGTATCTACTAAATGTCCAGGATCTTATGCCTTTCTTCAAAGAATATAAGTATGTCCATATAGGACTTGTACAGATTGCTTTAAGACCTTTGACCCTTTTAGGTCAGAATACCAGTATTCAATGTACTCTACGTGATGGTAGGTGTACCAATTGGAGAGCTTCGCTCATGGGGGCTATGGAAACCAGTCTAGCTCATGGTCCAGTATATTTTGATATTTATCCAAATTTTAGTATTGCTCTTTCTGATCAAAATTTATCTAAAGTTTTAGAATTCAGAGTTATTACTCATGGTTATGAATATCTTCCAAGATCCCCTCCATTTTCAGTAATTTCCAGAATTTATTTAAAAGTTCTATCAACCTTAAATCCATATGTCAAGAAACAAAGTGTTCATGGCCAGACAGTGTTAATAGACACTAACCTTTACAGTAGTCAGGTTGCTGTTCCAAAGTTAATTGAGTGGGAAAAAATAACCTTTCCAGAAAGATGGCAGCTAACCAATGTTGTTCCTCCCAGACCAATTGTGCGACATAATTTGGATGATATAATTCAGACTCACCAAGGTAATGTTTACCTTCAAGTTCAGAGACCTCCTGTTCAATTATCTAGGAGCATGTCTAGTGCCAGTTTTAGAACTGCACCTAGCCACCAACCCTATAAGGTTGAATATCCAGAATCTTCCAGACAATCTTATTCTGAACCACTAGATGCCATATTTCAAGGACAACCTTCCAGATCTTATTCGAGACCACAATCTGATGAACCCCAGGAACCAGATCAGGATCCCATTATTCGAGGTGTTCAATATTCTGATCAACAAATTCCCCATGGAATCTATGATCAACAAATTCTGCCAAACATTTATCCTGTTCCTAAGGAGTCCAGAAAAGGCCAGTATAGTCCTACAGCCAGTGATATGGATTTCAGGATTTAAATGGATTTGACACCAGGTAGTGAAAATCGCAAAATCCTCAAGAAGGATTTATTCCAGGAAAAATATACAGAATTCAGAAAATGGTACTTTGTTGTTCATACAAAAGAACAATTACAGGATTATAAACTCCAGTATTATTCGTATCTTGAGGAAATTCAAGTTTTATTTCCCTTTCCTTTATGGTATGTACAAAATGTTTGTCCTCCAGACTCTCAGGTAAATGTACTAGAAAATATCCAGCAAAAATGGTTGACCACTGATGGTCACGAAATTCATTCTATCCATCCTCCAACTCAGGCTTTAGAACTTCAACCTACAGGACCTAATACTAAACCCATGACTATTGCAGCATATACAGAAATACCTCATAAAAATAAAAATAGCGATCCAGTCCTTGTCCAAGATATAATTCTAGTATTAAAACAAAATAATTATACTAATTTATTCTGTCAAACAGCAGGGAAGCAACTTACAAGGATTGAAGAAAGGGTTGCTCATGTTAAGAAAAGCTGCAAATTAGAACCCAAAACTACAGTTGTTACTGAACCTGTCCTGATCAAACCAACTCCAGTTCTTTGAGATTTTAAGTTAAAATCTAAAGAAGAAACTGATTTTATGGACACCCTTCTTTCCAGAATCAAAAATTTGCATATTAGTGAACCTCCTCCAACGTCCACGTCTCAGGTTAATATGCTTTCCAGTAATCATTTCCCATATTCTGATGATTCATATGATCAATTATCTCCTCAGCAGATTATTGATATTCAGGCCAATTTTCAATCCCAACCCTCTTCTATCAATCGGGTTACCTACAGTCATAACACTCAACGTATGTCCATGGCTGGTCCTAATCGATATTACTATCCTCGTCCTAGCCCTATGGATATCCTTTATGAAGAAGATTTTTTACAAACTCAACGTTCTTACCACAGTAATACCATTTACGAATGGAATCTTGATGGTCTTTCTCAATATCAGATCTATGAACTTCTCCAGCATATGCTCATGTTTGCCACTGCTTGTAAACAAAATAATAATTCTGATCACCAGGTTGCTTGCTATCTTGTTAGTGGTTTTACTGGTGTCCTGAAAGGATGGTGGGATAATATTCTCACAACTACCCAATGTACTGAGATCCTTTCATCCACCAAAACAGTCATTGACATAGATACTCATACAAGCCCTAGTACTGGTCCTGCTCCAGCACCTGTCGAACGAGAAGAAGAAGACGCCGTCTATACCTTAATAAATACAATTATTGCCCATTTTATTGGTCATGTTTCAAGAATAGAAGATCATAACAGAGAACTGCTTATGAAACTTCGATGTCCTTCTTTATCCAATTTCCGATGGTATAAAGATGTTTTCCTGATGAAAGTTATGCAGAGAACTGATGGTAGTTCAGAGCATTGGAAAGCCAAGTTTATTGATGGTCTTCCTACCCTTTTTGCCGAAAGAGTTCGCAAGAAATTAAGGGACAGACACCATTCAATAAATATTCCATATTACCAATATACTTATAGACAACTCGTAAGTATAGTTACTGATGAAGGTCTTGCACTTTGTAATGACCTTAAACTCCAACAACAACTTAAGCAACAACAACTTACAGGAAAAAGAGAATTAGGAGAATTTTGTGAACAATTTGCTTATGATCCTCAAGTCCAGTATCCCCAGAAACAACGAAAACATAAGAATTATTCTAAGTCTTATAAAAAATCCAGAAAATATAGAAATTCAAAATATTCTAAAACCCAGGTTCAGCCTCAAACATCTAAACCTAGATATAAATCTAGAAGAAAGTCTTTTCAGAAAAATAAATCCACAATTAAATATTATAAATGTGGACAAACAGGTCATTATGTTAATAAATGCGGAGCAAAGATACAATCTAAGCTCAATGAGTTAGCATTAGATGATGATATACAGCAAAAGATATTACAATTAATGTCTGATTCTAGTTCTTCATCAGATCCTTGAGATAATGAATTAGCAGCAATTTATTCATTTGGTTCTGATGAAGAAACGGATGAATCGCCAGACGCTGAAAAATGCTCTTGTAAAACTACAGTAAATCAAATTTCCGATGAAGCTAATTATTGGAAATCAATTGTGGAAATGAATGGACTTAATATTGGTCCCAGTATTAATGTCCTTACAGATACTGAGCAAAATCTTTTAGATATTGCCGATGAAATAAAAACTCCCGTAATTAAACTAAAGTTTCTTGAAATGTGTTATAAGCAGAAGACAGAAGAAGTTCTTCCACCTAAGCATTATAACATGAAAGAAGTCTTTAATCGAATGCAGACACCAACTTCAGAAAAACCCACAAATATTCAGGATTTAAAAATGGAAATAAACGCTTTAAAAGTAGAAATAAAGCATTTACAGACTTCAAATATTGCTATTAATTCTGAAATCAAAAGAATTAATGCTAAACTACAACGAAAAGACAAAGATAATACTGAAGAAACAAATCCAGATTATCTTATGAATTCCAACCAAGTATTTCCAAAAGACAAGCCAATCCCTAACTAGTGCTAGTGGTAATAATTTGTATATTGACTACAAACTTGTTTCTAACTACAGAACAAAGACTTCAGCAATCATCTTTTCAACAAAAGGTTAAATTGCTTGAAAAAGAATTCCAGGAAGAAATTTGCAGTGATGTCCCTAATGCTTTTTGGGATCGCAAGAAACACATTGTTTCGTTGCCTTACAAACCAACTTTTGATGAAAGAAAAATTCCCACCAAAGCTCGTCCCAGTCAAATGAAAAAAGAGTAAATGGAATTGTGTAAAACTGAAATTAATACTCTTCTCCAGAAAAAACTAATTAGACCCAGTAGATCTCCTTGGAGTTGCATTGCTTTCTATGTTAATAAAAATGCAGAGATTGAAAGAGGTGTTCCTCGTTTAGTAATTAATTATAAACCTCTTAATGAAGCTTTACAGTGGATTAGATATCCAGTTCCTAATAAAAAAGACCTTTTAGATCGATTACAGGATGCAGTAATATTTTCTAAATTTGATATGAAGTCAGGATATTGGCAGGTTCAAATTGCTGAAAATGATCGTTACAAAACTGCTTTTACAGTACCCTTTGGGCATTTTGAATGGAATGTCATGCCATTTGGCCTAAAAAATGCTCCATCTGAATTTCAGCATATCATGAATGATATTTTTAATCCTTATACAGAATTTGCTATATGTTACATTGATGATGTTCTTATTTTTTCATCTTTAATAGATCAGCATATGAAACATCTTAATATATTTAGGCATGTTATTGCCAGAAATGGTCTAGTAATTTCTGTTCCAAAAATGAAATTGTTTCAGACAACTGTCAGATTTTTAGGACATTATATTCATAATGGAACTATTATTCCTATTAATCGAAGTATGGAATTTGCTTCCAAGTTTCCTGATGAAATTAAAGAAAAAACTCAATTACAGAGATTTTTGGGTAGCTTAAATTATATTCATGATTATTACCCTAACCTAGCTACTGATGCAGCCGTTCTTTACAACCGTCTTCATAAAAACCCACCTGTTTGGGGTCCAGAACATACATCCGCTGTTAAGAAAATTAAAGCTAGAGTCTAGACTTTACCCTGCTTATGTTTACCTCATCCTAACTGGAAAAAGATTGTTGAAACTGATGCCTCAGACTTAGGTTTTGGTGGTATCCTCAAACAATTTAATCCAAATACTAATAAAGAAGAACTCTTACGTTTTCACTCTGGTATTTGGCATGATGCAGCAAAACGATATCCGACAATTAAAAAAGAATGCTTAGCCATTCTAAAATGTGTTTTAAAATTCCAGGATGATTTATTAAACCAACATTTTTTAATTCACGTTGATTGTTCTGCTGCTAAGCAAATCTTTAAAAAGGACGTTGCTAATTTAGCCCAGCAACAGATTTTTGCTGCTTGGCAAGCTACACTTTCTGTCTTTGATTTTGATATTGACTATATTAAAGGTGAAAATAATTCTCTTCCTGACTTTCTAACCCGTGAATATTTGCAGAAATCGCATGCAGGGTAGATCTCGGGGCTCCGCCCGTCGGGGCCGTGGAAGGGGTTCTAACCCCTATAATACAGAATTTCCGCCATTATTTGGCCATTCCAGTAATCCAGGGGAATCTTCTAGCAAATCTGCTAAAGATGTCCTTCTTGCTCCAGAAACATCTTATTTCCAAAATACTATCAGAGAAGAAACCGTCCTCTATATTGATTCTGCCGATGTCCAGTGGATGGTTGATCCATGGGAGATTAAACGCCGATATCTCGCCACTCAAAATGCTCCTCCGCATACGAGCAAATTCTCACCGAACTTGCCTCGGTACAATTCCAACATACTTTAGCCGATCCCAATCGGACTGCTAGTCCTATTAATTACAGTAAGGTTACTATCCAGAATATTGTGCCTATCCAGGCTTGGGGTATGCATCCCCATGTTACCAGAACTCTTGACATTCGTTCCAAAGAAACCAGATATAGCTATTGGGATTATATAGATGCCTTTTCCCAGGTTGTTTACTATATGAATCCTCCTCGGAGCCATTCTTGGTTTTTTCGCGTCCTTCCCGATGTTCTCAAAACTGATCTCCCAAATTGGTTTCTCATTTGGTGGGATGAATTGAAACACAACCACTTCAGATTGAAAATACATGATTGACTCAGTAAGTAGTATTGAAAACATCTTGATGTGCACAGATGCTGTGTGTGTGTGTGTGTGCGCGCACGCTTGTGTGTGTGTGTGAGAGAGAGAGAGAGAGAGAGATTTCCATTCACCACCTCTTGTAGTTTTATCAGGTCAGGAAAATTAACTCTATGCACACATTATGAAAATGTGATTTTCTGTAAAAGTAAACTCTCAAACTTAGTCAGACTACAAAATTAAAAAATTTAGAAGTAAAACTCTTGTAATGTATATATGAGACAAAAATACTCTACGAGCTTTATGTGCATAGATAGTCAACATACTCCACAAATAACCTAAAGTGAGTTGGCTGAAAGAACCAATAATCTAAACTAGACCGGTTGGGTTTTGTTGGAGTAAGACTTCATTGATTTTCAGATCATAGACAAGACAAGAGTTGTTTCAAATCCAACTGCAGGGCCAGTTTTCATGCAAGTTCTCATTTCTCTGGAGAAACACGGGCTGGCAGGCATCCTGCAATGGCAGAAATGTTACTTTTAAGGAAGACCGCTGCATAGGAGCAATAGCACAGCCATGCAGAATGAAGCAAGGAGCCCTTATTGCAATCCTTTGTTTTCATTGCAGAGCGGTATGCAAGCAAAGTTTCAAATATGAAGGCAGTGACATTTAATGAAATAATAAAGACCTTTGATGAAACACTATCTTCTATTGGCCAGTTGAAACCTGCATCTATGACCTCCCCTTGTATCACAAATTAAAATCATCACTGGTCTAAGTTTTGAATCATTTAAAAAGCTTTCCAGTTAGTAAAACAGATGTTATTCCATGAGGTCATAAAGTATTGGTAAGTAGATTGTGACCTTAATTTTTGTGTTGCACATGATAGAGATCATGACTTGATTTAGTTTTTTAACTCAGCCACACATAATTATGTCATACATTTGATTGCAAACCAAAAAACAGAGGGGGGAAAAATGGAAGAAAACAATATCTAGAAACCTTGACAAAAAGCAAAGGAATAAAAGAATGACACCCAAGTAAGAAAGAGAAAATACCAATAGCAACGTCTAAGCAACAATATAACATGGTACACTCACCAAGTGCATGAAATGTTGGTGTAGATAATAAGTAATTTTGAATACATACCGCATCAACCGCTGCCTCAGCAGGGCCTTTAATAGTAATTAGTGAAGATTCAATGAGACGGCGGTAACCTTGCTCAGGGGCTATTAAATGAGGTTGGTATCCATCAGCTTCAGTAATTAGCTTTCGTACATTGTCCATTGCAAGCTGCTTGTCAAATTGCAACCTTTTTAAAGCAGCAGGAAGTTGATTATCAAATATGTTATAGATTTTATCACCACCAGGGCGTCTGCAGAAATCGATGATCATTATAAACACAGGTTAGGTCAGAAACTAACATTCCAAACATAAATAGTAGTGCACAATAATGAATTGAACTAATTTAGCGTACATACACGCCATCAAGGTGTTCTTTGAATATTCCATCAAAAATACGGCAGATTTCCATAATCATGTATAGTTTGCCCTGCGTTAGTGAGAGAGAGAAGAATATAATAAATGATTTGCAGCAAGTGTAACCTAGGAAAAAGAATGAAGGATCTTAAAACTTTAGATGAACACAATGGGAAGTTTAGAAAATCCTTCATCTAATTGGGGGCCATAAACTCTATACAAATATGAAAGGCAACCATATTCTAGCTGGTAAACGAGCCACTTCAATAAATGTATTTCGAGTCTCGCCTTGATACATTAAGCCAATTTAAAACTAAATTATAAGGAAAAGAAGTATAAAGCAGTCCTTACTCCAGCATCAGTGGCAACAGGCTTCCCAAGTCGGCTCAACTCCGTTTCTATATCAATGATGGTTTTGCTAATGAGAGACTGAAGGCCTGGGATTCGAGACTTGATAACTTGTTCCAAATGCTGAATTTAGCCATGTAGAGTGTCACATGTGAAAAACCACCACAATAAGAATACTTAGTATGAGAAAAACCATATGAATTCAAACCTCATTCTAGTTACAAGAATTATAGCATCAATAACAGTAATTTATATATAAAACTTGTCAACAATCTAGAAGAAAAGTTTATTTTTTTTAAAAGAAAAAAAACATAACATTCATTTTTTGATAGGAGAGGGGGGGGGGGGGGGGGGGGGGAGGAATCATACTTTTGAAAGAATCTTTCCTAAATGCTCAGAACCCATCCTGTGAGCAAGATGCTTGTACTCTGGGGTATTGGCAAAGTACTCTCGCTCCCTACGCCGAGCAGCGATCATATCAGTGTTTTTGTTAATGTCCGCTTGAGATCGATTAACAACACCAATCCAAGGAAACTGTAGCCTAAATGCCTTTCCTTCCAAGATCTGAAATCACATGAATTAGTGATTCCATGATTACAATCAAATCCAAAACAAGTCTTCACATTCAATAACATGAAATTTATATTTTGTCAAAACTTATTTTAATATAAGAATCTTGCTGTATATGAAATGACATTGAATATTTCCACAATTACGGATGTATAAAACAGCACACCAAGAAAACTTAAAACTCAAGACTATCAATCTTGAGGGCATCCAACGGGGATTAAGATATAAAGATATGAAAACAGAATAAAAACCCTCGGAAAAAAAGAAAAAAGAAACGCAACCAAACACAGCCTGCACCTATTAAAACCAAAAGAGTAAAGAAATCGCAGGACTTTCATATTATTCAATCCTTAGACAACTGTAGATGTTTGATCACTCAAATTATTCAATCCTTACACAACTGTAGATGTTTGATCACTCCTCATAAACTCCATGACAACAAAACAAGATGGATGAGATAACACTTGATCATATCACCATGTAATAAATTATAAATCAAACTCATCCAAAATATCCTTCGCATTATCATCATTGTTATTGACAAGAAGGCATCTATTACTTTTTACCAACAATAGCAGCTTCATGTTTAATTGAATCCCAAGTCAGAACAAAAATACTGAAATGTTATCAAATCGTTCTGTTTATGAAATCCAAAATATAACTTACCTCGACTGCATCAGTACCCTTGTCCATAAGATCAATCTTTGTTAAAACTCCAAATGTCCTCTCTCCTAAAAATATGGCAACCACAAAATGAAAATCAGAATGTGTTATGGGGCAAGACGTGAAGAACTATATAATAGTCATCATTTTTCAATATGTTAAAACCAGCATGACTAACAATTCTCAATCACAAGAATCTAAGAAAATGTTGGTCATTATATCAAAGAAAATAGATTTGATGCATCCAAATAAAAACACTTGAATATCTTAGAACCAGCATGGGGCGGTGGTTTTTCGATTCTCTCTTTCCTCTCTTTTAGATAACCACTTATTTACACAATAATGATTGAGTTCTTTTTTCTAGGTAAGAAGCCTGAGCAAGAGCAAAGAGAATCCTTCTCAGGTCTGTCTCCTGATCTTGATTCGGCAGCAGTTCAAACACATTATCCATCTGAGGTTGAAAACAAAGGATTTTATTTGATGGATAGGCCTAGACAATTTTCCCATTCAAAAAAAAAAAAAATTGGACTTCAGATTTAAGCCTGCTGTCCAAACCTATGTTACCTGGAACGTGGATCTTTCCGATATATGAAACGGAAATGAAAACGGGAACGTGGTACGTCACATGTTTTAAAATATGGTACGATAGGGGTAGACTTGTATATATTATATTTAAGAATTTAAGTTACTTCTAGAGTAATTTTTTTTTTAACTATTAGATATCCAATAAAATGTAATATTTTCTATGAGCATTATGACCAATTTTTTTATTTTTTATCTTATCAAAACTTAACTCACCTTGGATTTTAGTTCACTATATTTGAATTTTTTTCTCCTAAGGTAACATTTAAGGACATATATTGAAAAAAAACTTTTGGAATCGCTTTGGAACACTAAGGCCTCGTTTGAGAACAGGCTAATTTACTTACTTTTTGGCTATTTGGCTAAAAAGGTAGGTAAAAAAAACTTATATGTTTGGGATGTCTTTTTGGCTAATTACGAAAAGATGTGCAAAAAGTAGAGAGAAAAGAGAATCTTTGACTTTTTGGTATGAGTTGTTGGCTTTTTGGCTAATTTAGTAACTTTTTGACTAATTAGCTAAAAAAGTAAGTCCACAAACGGGGCCTAAATTTACTGTTTTGGAACGGACATATACCATGCTTCGGAACGTGTGTACCAATACGTAATTTGCTAGGGTATTAGCATTTTCTGGTAACATATATCCAAACGATGTATGTGGTCAAGCAACCTTGTAGCATTTTAGGCAAGTAAGCATGCATTTGTTCATGCGTGCACATCACACATGCAAATGCAAGTACCAAGTTTTGCAGTAAACAGCATAAAATGGTTTGGAGTATACAGAACAAAACTAAGAAACCCTAGCAATTGAATATATGTGACTTCAGCAATCTCTCAATGATTATTTACTCTATTGAGTGAACATGATTAATGATTTGTCTGCCTTTGTTTATGATAAGTTCTACATACTCAGTATACAAGAGCACCACCTTCAGGGAAATATACTAACATCTGCTCCCATATAACATGTAACAGGTAGCAACAGGTTCCTCAACTCAACAAGCCTCTCTCCCAAATCCCAATTATTTAGGAGATCTATTTCCCCCAACTGCTTATATTCATAACCTCAGCTAGGCAATATAACCTACTGATTGTTTAATTTTATTGTTCTCTCAGTCTGTTGTAGCAAGTTATCTGACCCTAAACAATAACCAGCTTGTTTGGTTCTGGTTTTCAGAAAACAGTTTTCAGAAAATTCTACTTTTTATTTTCCGTATTTTAATGTTTTCAATGAATTTTTTTAATATTATAAGCAATTTTTTTTTAAGTTTTAGACACATCTAACATAAATACACTGAAAAAGTATAATATTTGTGAAAAAAATCTTTAAAAAATAATACCAAAAAATACAAAAATTCACCACATTTTTGGTATTTTTGTGTATTTATTAATTTTTTAAAATATTTTTCTCAAATATTTTATTATTTAGATGCATCTAAATAAGGTACATCTAAAAAAGTAAAAAAGTTGCTTAAAATTTAAAAAATATTCACTAAAAACAAAAAAACACGATAAACAAAAAAACTCAGATTTCAAATAATTGAATTCAGAAAACTGAAACCAAACACACTGAATGATTTCAACTAGGTATACAGTCCATAAAATTGCAGAAATTGCATCTGGCTAGGAATCTTACCTTTGGGATCTACTTCACGAGAAATCTTAATTGCATCGGAGGTAGCAAGATCTTGATTGGCAGGAGAAATTGCAAGAATTATACAGTTGGGCTGCAGGTTAAGAGACAAAGATAGACTAATAAAATATGCATCTCATTAAAGTTAATACACGCAAAGCATCATGAAGACTTGAGAAGAAAACATGTAGTCTAGAGAACAGCTAGGAATAACTGCATGATACCATATACTGTATCAAGAATGCACACCTAATTCTTAAAAATAACAAGAGCAAAGCAAATGAAACATGCACAAAGTAAACTGCCCCCATGGAAGTAGGATGATCTAATTCAAAATTCTCACCCAATTGTGTACATCTCGCATATTTTTTTCACAGTTGCAGGGCCACTATAACTGACTCCATTTTGTTTACTCCTGTAGAACTCAACAATTGCACCTACTTGTTCAATACCATACTTCCATTCTGCTCTTATAAAAAGAATGTTGACTCTCTAACCATTCCGTTGCAGTTTTCGAAAACAACCAGAAATGTTTTTAAAAAAATGAAGCATACTATGTACAAAAAGTTCACACCCTTCTTTATATAAGGGTGTCCTAACCATCCAACCTCTATTCCATGCAGGTTATCATTAAACCCACCCTGAATAGTCCAGCATGCAGTTTAAAATTATTACTTCTAATCTTAGACTTCACTACAGTTCCCTTGTAGAATAGACCTGTTTCCCAAACGAACTTACGAGGTTCAAGGAAAACCAAAAGAATATTTTCATCAACTTAGATCTAACCCCCATAAGCAAACTAAATCAGAATTTGAATAGAAATTACCTTCTCAATATAGGACCGAACCATATTCTCAATGTCCTGCACAATGCTATCAGACTGGCCCTCTACAATGATCAAAATAATCAACATCATATTTTTAGACGGGGAAAAAAACAACAGTACAAAGTCATTAAGGAAACATTATAATTGAATTTAAAAAAATACATGCAAAAGTTGAGAGTTGCTTTCTCACCAACAGCAACTTTTGTAAGCCCGGGAAGATCAATTAGTGTCAAGTTCACAACTGCAAAGTCAAACAATCATAATAAAAAATAATTAATAATAAATCTTACCAAAAAACAATCATAATAATGAGATGAAGTAATTCCAAATTCTACATTTAGAATTAAGTAAAAATTCCAAGTTGAACTCCATATGAAACTAGAACTATGGGGACCAAAGCGCAATCTCACTAAACTATAATGACCAACGGTATAATTACCCTAATGTAATCTATATAAGCCTACCCCTATCATGCCACATTATAAAGCATGTGACATACTGCGTTCTCGTTCTAGTTCCATGTTCCAAGTAACATAGGTAAGAACTCTAATAGGTTATTCTCAGCTCACAAGACTTCCATTTACAAGAAGGTCTAGGAGAAGTAATAGTAGGGCTGTTCACAAGACCGAACCACCTGACACAACCGACCCGGCCTGACCAATCCAACCCCTCCATGGATGGTTTCAAACTGCTCTCAGTCGGCAACGGTTCAAATGCATCAAAATTCTGCAAATTTTGGTCAACTATCAAGCATCACATAACATAACCCATTCAACCCGACCCGATGAAATTATTTATATATAGTGCAGTGGGTTACATGTCCAGGTTGGCTCAGCAGATAGTGGAGACCTCCTAGGTAATTCCCAAGGTTACATGTTATCTCCCCGAGATTTGACTCATCCCCTCAAAATCTGACCTCTCCCTCTCTCTCATGAAACCTTTTTTGTCTCCTCCACTCATTCTCATGTCTATCTCTATCTCTCTCACCCTCTCATCTCCTTCTCTCTCAAGTTTGAGACGTACCGAAATAAAACCCAAAAGCCATTGAACCCTTTCTCTCTTATAGTTTCATCTCGCTCTCTATCTCTCTAATCTACCAATCGAACCCAAAAGGCATCATCTTCAAGTCTCAGGTCTACCAAAATCGAAACCCTTGTGGCGAAAGATCAAGACTCGCACATGGCGGTGGTGTATAGTAGCGACATTGTGCTATGGCAAAAAGATATGTATCCTCTTTCTATTTTCAATTTTTCCTCCACTTTTTTGGTTATATCTAGTGTGTGTGAGAGAGAGTTTGTTATCTCTCAAATTTGTATAATATGCTACCGACACTGTGATTGTCTTTATGTATGGTAATGTGATTAGTGTGATAAAGGAAAGGACAAAAGCCATGGAATTTAAGCAGTGAATGGAAGATTAGCCGACCGAAAACCGCCCGCCAAACTGAACACCCGATGTGCATGGTTTCGAGCATTATTTGGATTGAAATCGGATGACCACTTCTCTAAACCAACAAGGTCAGTTCGAATAGAAGTTCAGTGGTGAAACCAACTCGACTTGACCTGTGAACAGCCCTAGGTAATAGGGAAGCAACCTTAACCTTTTTTTGCAAGGAGGCCAATTCTAGTAACTGAAATTCATGCCACAGTGCTAGGGTGAACGAGCACTTGCCATCATGCCAGGACACAACCTCTATGGGTAAGAACCTATGTAGCATGGATACTTCAACTAACATACCGTACCTGTACTGGGTACTTTTTTGACATATAATACTTCTACATACATACCAGGTACACAAAACACGTGCTTAAATTTTTTCTTATTAATTTTTTACGTACCCAGACGTATCTAATATATACCCAAGTCGCACCATACATAACTTTATTTTTATGCTTAGCATGACTTTAAAATTAAGCTATAGTTTGTAAGTTATCTAATATAATGATATTTAATTTTGGTTTATACCCTTATTTTGGACATTAAATGTTAATTGAAGATTGGACCTTAACAAATTAGACCATTTAATCAATTTTTTGCATTACTCCAAATTAAAAATAAATATTTTTTTACAAACATACCAAGCTATACCCACACTCTACTTTTTTTAAATTTTACCGTATCAACGTACTCATGTCGTACCCGTACCCATGCTTCATAGGTAAGAACTCTATAGATCGTAGATTAATAACTTCATATTTTAAAGAAAAATTACAGTTGAAAAATTAACATATGAGTGTAAAGCATAAGAAAGCATGACACACAATCCTATCTCACCATTGGGGGAATAAATACTAAGATAAATTGGAACACTTGAAATCTGTTTTGAGCGGCCCGTCTCTCGATCAGTCTCATCGGCGATCTCCTTCCTCACAGCAGCTACAAGACACAACTAATAGTTTAGCAAATAAGATAAAACTGATAGAAAATCAAACATGAAAAATGTTTCAGATATTTTTTTAAAGAGATAATGGTATAGCTACATAATCAAAATAGGAACTATGTTAGATAAATGCGTAGCATTTTCATCGATACTAAACATGGTCCTAGTTGAAGTACTAACTAGTAACCACTATTATATTAAAATACATTTTACTAAATCATGGTAAATTTTAAACAGAAGGCAATTTAAATAGAACAAAAATAATTATGACAGGGTGCCAAGTGGTATTTTTCAAAAAAATTCATTTGTGATAAGAAATATACCAAAATCTGTGAACCTCTTTCTTGGGAGGTGCATGAATTCTGCATATTCTCTTCCTTCATCAATCCTATGAAGCTGTAGGACAAGAGGACGTCGAGTAACAATTCCTGCATACAATACTTTCACGTTATTTCTAAAGTTCATAGGATTTATGTTTCAATGAGCATCTTAAGTTTACTATAGAAAAAACATGTTGTGAGCCTATAACATTACATATGAATGGTGAAAGCATTAATTACCTGATCCACGAGGCAAAAAGTCCTTCCCAACAATGCTCTCAAGCACTGAAGACTTCCCAGAGCTCTACAAACCATTAAAGAGATGGAATGATGGATGTATAAGTAATGAATAATTAACTTGTCCAGAAATGGGAAATTGTGGGTTTGAACCAGCCAATATGGACAGTGATACTTAAATACCAGTTGAACCAATAAATTATTTACAAATTAAGATTTTCACATATAACTTTCAAACAAATAAATGGTGACTAGTATCAATAAAACATACCCTCAAACTTTCAAAATGAAATATGAAGAATGTGTTTTCATGCTACTGCCTTTTCAAATAAATTAAAGTGGCATTTTCTTACACAATAATCATCATATAAATCATAATTATCAGATTTAATGAGACATACACATAAATGCTAAGTGGGTAGGAAGACCAAAACTACCATGGGTTGAGATCGTGAGACTAGTGCAACAGGGTTCATGTAACCAACCCAAAATTGTTGAGAGAAGGCTTTGATGAGTTCAGTTGAGCTAAGTAAAGCTTTAACAATCAAAATAACACTTAACAAAGCAATGGCAGAACAAATTCTAAACCCACTGCTTTCAAATGATTCCATGAAACTCTTGATGTCATAAATTTTAGAAGTGAAGTGAGTGGTAATATGAACAACGTTTTTTAGCATATAACATTCTATACTGCAATATCTGATAATAGCTAAAAACAAGTCAACTCTGAAAGGATTGTCAAAATATTTTTACAATCCAAATTCCAAACCCTAAAAGTAGGCAAAACTGCATTTTAACTTCTACTGTTAAAACTAATATATGTCTAAAAATAACATATTCACTGTTTAACAAACAACATGGAAGACTGATAAAGAACTTATAAGAGTACGATTCAATTTATTCCCTACTAATAAGTTTTATATAAGATCATCCAATTTAATGCGACTCAAATACCAAAACTACACATAACTTAATCAAAAGGTAAATCAAACCAAATTTTCCTCTGATTTACGAGTAATACATCAACAAAAATCTAAGATTTAGGTAAATAAAAGAATCAGTCGATCCAGACAGCAAATTATTAAACTATTAAACTTGAGATCAAAGCAAATCCAATTTTTTTATTTTTTTAAAAATCTCTTGATAACAAGAAAATGAATAAGGAAAGAGAGATTCAGCTCACAAATTTCGAATCAACAGAAAAGAACAGACTAAATGTGTCAATCAAAGATCTAAAGATCGAAACTGAATCAAAGAGAGATCTGGAGATTTGAGATCGAACCTGGCCACCGACGACGGCGATGGAAGGAAGAGAGTCCCAGAGAGTGGGCAAAGCGCTCTCTTCGCCATGATCGCCTAGAGCAGTGCAAGCTCTCTGTAGTTTGTTGACCAGAGATATCAAGTTCTCCATTCTCGATGTAGAAGACCTAGTCGGCGGTGACGATGACTTTCAGAACTTACTGATCTCTGGTTTCGAAAATTAAGATGAGAGAGAGAGAGTCCAAGAGATGTAAGAAGAAGAGACCAACAAAATTTTGAGATGAAAATTTGTGACTTTTATCGCCTCCCGAAAGTTTCAAATTAATAACCGCGTGCGTGCGCGTCTGTGAGACAAGGCCCTATAGTTTTGTTTTTGTGTTTGAAATTTGTTTTGTTTTTTACTTTTTGTTTTTGAAATATAATAAAACAAATGTAAATTACACTTTGCCTTTTATTATTATTTTACTTTACTTTACTTTACTTTAGATCTTTAATTAATTAATGGGTTTATTATAATATTTTACTCTTGAAATCTCGTTAAATGTAATTTTTTTAGCTTTTAGTTTCTTTTTAGTTGTGTCAACTCTCTAATTTTTTATAGGTTTTTTCTTAAAAAAATTTAAAAAACCAATAACTTAACTTTTAACATACTTCTCAAAATAATTTTTAAACTTTAAATTATCGATTGAATCTATTTAGCCTCTAAAATATATAGATCAAAATCTATTTAGTCCCTGAACTATCGGTTGTGTCTATTAAGTCCTTAAAATATATATAAAATCAAAATCTATGTAGTCCCTAATAGGATTACAAAAATATAATATATGTTTATATATATTATAAATTAGTAAAAGGCCCTTCCCATTAATATTTTATTACAGAAAATTCTTTTAAATTTTTATTTTGTCTTTAAAAAGTATGTTATTTTGTTATATGTTTAAATTAATATTAGAGTCTGATCTTTTAGTCTTGCCAATAAATTATATGGTAAACTACCAATAGGTCCTAATGCTGTGTTTGGTTGAAGGATTTGGGGAAGGATTTGGGGAGGGATTTGGAAAGGAAAAGGGAAAATGTGTGTGAAACTATGTGAAATATAGGCATGATTTATTCACATTTCACCTACTTTTTCCATTTCTCTTTCCAAATTCCTCCCCAAATCCCTCAACCAAACACAGCATAATAGTTTAACTTAATTCTCATCCAGTCCTATTGAAAATAAATCTTGATAAAATTGTTGCTAAAAATAAATTTTTTGTAACAATTTTTTATATATGTTGCTAAAAATTGATAATTAGTGACTTTTTTGTCATGATTTTTATAAATTGTCGCTAAAACTTACAATTAGTGACTTTTTTTATGACAAATTATTTCCATAGACAATAAGTCCACTTATTAGGACCTACACGTAAGTACCCCTAAATTATATAAATATTAGATATACTGAAGAAGTAAAATTAGATAATTTAAATAATAATATTTCTCTACAAATAGTAATAGCATAAAATAGTATATTAATTACAAGTAATAAAAGAATTGATCGAATAATTTAAAAATAATCAATTGAAAATTATAAATGAAACATGACATATAATATTAGGTAAAAGTAAGTACATATCCATTATAAAAAATAAGTAATAAAATACTATAGATAATTACCCTTATCCTTATAAAGAAAATTAATTGACACCTACTTTTCAAAGACAGAATAAAAATTTAAGATTTTTTTAAAATAAAATTTAATTAGATAGGGTCTTTTACTAATTTATAATATTTATGAGCTCATATTTTTTTTTTTTTTGTAATCCTTTTAGGCACTAAATAAGTTTGAATTAAATACTTTAGGAACTTCATGAATTTAATTGATAGTTTAAGGACTAAATAAATTTAATTTATATATTTCAGGGACTTAGTACATACAATCGATAGTTCAGGTCTTAAATAGACAATTTGACTATAGTTTAATAGTATAAAGTATAATAAACCCTTAATTAATTGATTTTACTTTAACCCTTTACGTTCAAGTATTTTTCAATTTATTATTAAAACTAATTTCTATTTAAAATTAAACAGAATTCACCTCTTTGTTTAACGCTGGACATAAAAGTAATGGTTTGTTTAGTTTTTAAAATATGATTTCGATGAAAAAAATCAAAAATTTGTTTGGTCAACAAACTTTTAAAATACAATTCAAAACTTAAGGTTGTGTTTGGTTATGTTTTTGAAATGTAATTCCACACCTTAGTTTGAGTGCTGTGTTTGGTTAGAATTTTTAAAAATTAATTCCACACCCACTTTTGAAAACATGTCTACCCGGTCATCTTCCTGGATGCCCTCTCGGATGTCCGGCCGTTGACCGGAACAGTGTTTTTTTTTTTTTTTTGCACCTGTTATTTTTATATTTTAAATAAAAAATATTTTTGGAAATTTTTTAAATTTTTTTTTTTTGAGATTTGAATAGAATTTTGGGTTATGTGTTTGGTTATGAGTTGTAAGTTTTTGAATCAAATATCATATGTTACATCAAAAATTTCAAACTCAATTCAAAACTAATAACCAAACAAATTTTTCACACTCAAATCATTATTTCAAAACTCATAAACTCAAAATACAACTCTATTCTCAAATCATAATTCTAAAACTCTACCAAACACTACCTAATTTTCTCTCTGCTCTCTCATTCTATTATTATTATTATTATTATTATTATTATTAAATCAATCATTCATTTTTTCTCTCTGCTCTTTCCTCTCTCATTCTCTCACATTCTACATATCAATCAATAAAATTTTCTCTCACATCTAGGGGTGTAAAAATAACCTGTGGGCCGCCCTGTCACCGCTCAAAAATTTCCACAATAGATATTCGCCAACTCCCATTGTTAAATACAAACATGAGTAAGTATTCCATGTTAACATCATCTACAAATCTCTAACATTTGTATTCATTGATCATTAAAGGATTTACAAAAGGCAGTCCACGTGCAAATATACATTCAACATCCCTAGTATATGAATTTATAGCATGTGGCATAGCTGTTCAAATACAATTAAATGCCCTCAAGAGTTATAATTTCCAAGACTTAAGCTCAATTACACAAAAATGGTTTTAACCCATACGCATAAAACCCTTGGCTTGCCAAAAATAATTTCAATAAAGCAAAAGAGCCTCGTGCTCTAAAAACATATCACACGCCTCTAACTCGACGGAATCACTACATCTTTTTCTGTACAAAATCTCATAGGGGTGAGCACCAAGCCTAGTAGGAAAACCTTAACAAAGTATATATACATTTTATACAACCTTACGGGATGATTGCATATGCCATGCTATGACACCCGAATTTTTTTTAAAGTTAATTTAATACTGCATTACTTAGGGTGTGTTTGGTAACGTTTACGTTTTTAGTTTATATTTACAAAAATTTTATAAATTGGTTTTTGTTTATTTTTTGTTTATTTTTAAAAAAACATAAACTACAAATGCGTTTGATAATTGACAAAATGTTTTAAAAAAATTAAAAACATAAAAAAGAGTTAGAAATGGCAAGTGGTGGCAAGTGGCGGCGGAAGACGGTGGTAAAAAGTGGTGACGGTGGGTGGTGGGTGGGTGGCGGTGACAGGTGGTGGGTGGTAGCGAGTGGGTGGGTGGTGGTGGTGGTGACAGGTGGTGGGTGGTAGTGGCAGGTGGTGGCGGGTGGGTGGTGGTGGCAGGTAGGTGGCGGGTGGTGGTAGTAGGTGGGTGAGTGGGTGACGGTGGCGAGTGGTAGCAAGTGGGTGGTGGCGGTGGTGGTGGCAGGTGGGTGGCGGATAACGGGTGGTGGTGGTGGGTGGATGGGTGACGGTGATGGTGGCGGGTGGTAGCGAGTGGGTGGCGGGTGGTGGTGGTAGGTGGGTGGCGGATGGCTGGTGGTGGCGGATGGTGGTGGGGAAGTGGTGGTGGTGATGGTTGGTGAGTGGCTGGTAGGCTGGCGGGTGGTGGTGGCGGGCGGGTGGTGGGTGGTGGTGGTGCGGGGTGGTGGTGATGGTGGCGGGTGGTGGTGACGGATGAGTGGGTGACGGCGGCGGGTGGTAACAAGTGGATAGTGATAGCGGTAGGTGGGTGGTGGTAAACAGGTGAGTGGCGATGGCAGGTGGTGGTGGTTGGTGGCGGGTTGGGTGGCGGGTGGTGATGGTGGTGGGTGGGTGGACGGAGGCGGGTGGTGGGTGGTGGTGGCAGGTGGGTGGCTGGTGGTAGTGGTGGTGGGTGGCGGTGGCAGGTGAGGCGGATGTCGGGTGGTGGTGGGTGTGGCAAGTGGGTGGTGATGGTGGGTGGGTGGGTGGGTGAGGTGGCTGGTGGTGGGTGGTAGCAGTGGGTGTGTGGCAAGTGGGTGGCGGGTAGTGTGGTGGTGGATGGGTGGGTGATGGTGTGGGTGATCAGTGGTAGCGGTGGGTAGTGGTGGCAGGTGGGTGTAGGTGATGGTGGTGGTGGTGATGGTGGGTGGTGGTGGCGGGTGGACTGGCAGGTGCTGGTGGTGACAGGTGGATGGTAGGTGGCTGGTGGTGGCAGGTGGTGGATGGTGGTGACAGGTGGGTGGTGAGTGTGGTGGGAAGTGGTGACGGGGGGTGTGGCGGCGGTGGATAGTAATGGCAGGTGAATGGACAGGTGGGTGGTGTGGTGGTGGTAGCGAGGTGGTGGGTGGGTGGTGTGGTGGTAGTGGTGGTGGCGGCGAGGTGTGGGTGTGGTGGCTAGCGGGTAGCAAGTGGGTGGTAGCTGGTGGTGGCGGTGTGGCAGGTGGGTGGTGAGTGGTGGTGGTGGCGGAAGACGGTGGTGGAAAATGGTGGCGGGTGTGGCTAGTGTTGGGTGGTAAAAAAAAAACTGAAAACTCAAAATGGAAACACATTTTTTGTGTTTTCATTTTTTGGCCAAATTTATAAACTGAGGCCACTGATTTATAAATCAAAAATTTTACCAAACAAGTTTTTATTTGAGTTTTAAAATTTTTTGTAAATATAAACAGAAAACTGAAAACGTAGTGTTACCAAACGGCACTTATAAAATAGAATTCCTTGTTATATCAGAAAAAAATAAAAATAAAAAATAAAACATTTGATTCTATAATTATACGTGTCAAAATGAAATCTAAATTAAAATATATTATTAGGGGCTAATTCAAAGCAACTATAGAACATATATGTGTGAAAATACGAGGACCATAAATTTATCAAAAAATTGTATATGATATATATTTATTACGCCAAGTGCAAGACTTACAAGTGGCACAACGAAGCGGTATAATCCTTGGTCAAGCCACGTGTAGGAAATGTAGGGTTTAAGGCAC